AAATCGATCACGATGTCTTAACTCCTTATGAAGGTCGTATTTATATCGTTGATTAGGTAGGTTAAATATTTTTTATAGAAATAAATTTAGTATCATTGTTTTGTATGGGAATAATTTATTTTTTCTTCCTCAGCTCATCCATCCCCCCCACTCTTCAAAAAAAGGATCCCCAAACGTCCCACCGAGAGACCATTGAATCTAAAGAAACTCTATCAAAATGCAAGCAGAGGATAAAGACACTACAGAAGGAGAAAGGAAAACATTAAAGCAGCAATTGCAAGAAAATAGAGGTGCGTACAACTAACTTGCAAATTTAGATGCAATTTGACCAGTTACTAACATCCAACAGAGAAACGATTCAAAGAATATCGAGAGAAACTAGAAACACAAAATTCTTCATATATCCTAGATGAAGAAGGTGCAAAATTCTATGAAGAATTGAGACAGAAGGATCTTGAGAAGGAAATGAGAATAAAACAACAAGAGACAATTGAACTCAAACGATTCAAACAACTACAAGGGGCCAAAAGGAAATCAGATCAATCGCCTACTTTAAAGACATCTTCTGTTAAGAAAGCACAAATAAACAAGATACCGAGAATTATAGCTAAAGCGAATCCCAAGAAGCTTGAGAGTGTACTTTCTTCTTCCCTAAAGAAGCCAGAAATATCAGAAAATAGTATAGGGAGCCAAGAAAACATAAAACTAACCACACAGAACGAACCCGCAGGTACAATAGTAAGTGGCTATTCTTCAAGCGAAGATGAAGAAGAGAAATATGAGGTTAATTATGGAGTTGTTACGTAAACTTGGTGGCCGCCATGACTAACCATGGAAGGTCGTGCGCAAACTCAATATCAACAACTTTACAGAACGAAAATTTTTTTGGTGATAAATTCTACAGTACGATTTGACAACGATTTCTTCGATACCAACGACACATACATAGACAACCATTGATCATGCTCTTGAGTTTAATACAAAATTCCAGTCGTTCTATATTTGGCAAGAAGCCAATAACGAATACCTTAATACAAGTAAGAACCAAAATGAAAACTCGTAGTGCTGCCCGTAATAGAATGATTCAAAGAGGTACTTGTGTAAAGAGAAAGTGTGCAAGTAGAAATCATGGAAATGGTAATTTCAGTGCCCCATCCTTATCGCATTTAAATGGAACAACTAGCGTTACTTCAAAAGGAGGTCATTTGAAGAAAATTCTTGGTATGCTTTAAGAGAGGTTTAATTTAAATAGGGAATAAAAGTGGATAATCAAATCATCAAAGTTATATAATAGTTAGTCAATCGCATAGCTTGTAAATAGTTTCAAATAAAGACGATTTTAATTAAAAAAAAAAGGAGGATACTAATCTACAAATTTATATACTTATATGAAGAATCTTTGCTTTGTTTTAAAAGTATAAATAACGATCTATGTTCTTTCGTATTCTATTTCTATCCATTTTTCTGACCCTTCTGGTTTTTTAAATTCAGTGGTTGGGAAATAATGGTAATCAGTTTTCAAAGTTATGGCAACTGGAAGGTTATCAAAAGTAACCAATCTCAACTTTACAAAAGTACGATCAGGAATATCTCTAACCACTTTAATAAATGTATCAAGAGTTTTAGTTTCTTGATCATTTACATGAGTTATAAAGGTAATAAGTGGGATTCCGTATTGACTAGCAGGTCCAGCAGGAGATTTTTCTGTAACATACACTTCGGATGGCACTTCTCTCATTAATTGTCTAACAGAATAATGAGGAGTTTGAAGAAGTGCACCAGACCAAAAAACAACATGGGAAGTGTCCAATGTAGAAGTATCAATAGTTGGAACTTGTAATGTCATTTCTTTCTTTTGTCTAACAATTCTGAATTCTAAACTCTTGTCTTCATACATACAGCTGAAGTCTCTCATACTTTTAACCAACTTACCATTCACAGAAAGAACTATATCACCAGTCTTTAATGGACTGGCAGGTTGTCCTAAACTAGATGCAGCCACTCTATCAACAGCCAAAAATCTAATTCGATCATGAGAAGCTTCTTCATATTTAGTAATCCATTCTTGTGAAACACCCCTAGCTCTTCCATTAAACACAGTCATTGATGCAAATTCGGCATCGAGTATTCTCAAGTTCTTTGGAATCTTATTAGCTTGTAACAAATCAATAACATCTTTGACGTCAGTAACATCTAATCCCATTCTATACGTCACTTCATTATTTTCACCCAAATAGGTCAACCAAAATGCACGCACAGTACCATCATCATCAACTAAGATAGCAGCATCACATTCATGAGCAATTTTATTGTTCAATAATATAACTTCCAAATTGGTACCTCTATAACGTGGAGCAGTTGGACATGCACCAACGTTCAAAGAAGAGACAGAACTGATTTTAACATCTTCTGTGATTAATCTCAAATTGGAATTATACCCAATAATGAATGATTTGTCATTTCTTTCTAATGGGGTAGTCCCAAACTTAGGAGTTTTGACATCGGCCAATACCAAAGATGGATCATACTTGATAATAGCATAATTGAGGTGTGGATGCATGAAAACGACTTTACCAACAACATCAATAGATTCAGCAAATATAAGAGAAATATCACACATATCATGAGGGACGTATCTTCTTGATACCAATACAAACCCATTTTTGGCATCAATGACAACACCATAACATACTCCTTTTCTGAAATTATGAGAATCAATTGGATGTGGGATAATAGCTCTAACTTGAACAAATGATTTTACTAAAGAAGAACAACCTTTCTTAGAATCATCATTAATTGGAATATCAATATATTTTGCATTTTGTGGCTGTGGAGTAATTGGCTCCAATGGCTTTTCTTGAAGGGTAGTAAAATCCCATAAACCAGTTTCATCATTACGAACAGCCATCTTGAATGAACTATCCCAATGTCTATCAATATAAATAGTTTGAACATATTCACAATGCATATCAGAAACATGACGATAAGTCACCGGAACTCTAGCATAATCGGGGATATTTTTCATGACCTCGACGAATTCATCCAAATTTGGCACTGGCTTGTCATCAATTGTCTCCATTAACCAACCAGAAGGATCACTTGATGAAAATAAAAACGAACCAGATCCATTACTGGTAAAGACACCTCTGACGGGCAATCCGTAACATTTTGCAACCTGATATGAAAGATTATGGAAACTAGCACCTGCGACTTGAACAAATCTATCTGGGGTGATAGCGTGAAGATCTCCGACTTTGATGGTTTGTTTGATTTCTTGTCCACCTCGTTGAACCACGAATTCTAACTCCTTGCCGACGTTTTCATCCAAGATTTCGTCGACTCTTATAAAAGTGGATATATATTCGCCATTGATGGAGATCAAACAATCACCTTCTTTGAGAAGTCCATCAGCTGGACCTTCAGGTAAAACTAATTCTGCAACAAGTAAACCGATTTTATTTGGGAATAATTCTCTTGCCTTAGCTTCGGCTTCGGAAGTCAAACCTAACCTCACACATTCATTAAATGGTCTTAATTGCCATTCAACCTGTATATCTCCTCTGGTTATTGGTTTGCCTTCTTGGATACATTTCAATGCTCTTTTTGGTCTATAAACAGGTAAAAAGAAATCTGTGGATGCTTCAGTTGAACCACCAGCTTGTAAAGCTACACATTTCCCATCTTCATTGACAACCGGGGAACCAGATGATCCTCCAGTAGCAGAAGCAGCAGCTTGAATGTATTCAGTATTGAAATCATTATAAGTCAAAGACCCATAATCTGGAGCATTTCTATCCAATCTAGATATAATCCCAGCTAAAATGGACAATTTTTCACCAGCATCATTACCCACTACTCTAATTTCTGTTCCGATTTTTGCCAATTCGGGTTCTAAATCAAGTTGACCGAGTTTTAAATATTTCACTTCTTTAGGATCAAATTTCAAAAATCCAAAATCATGAATCGGATCTCTATAAATTGGTTTAACATCCACTGATTCATGATTATCAAAAACGACATATCCAGTGAATGGTCCAGGTCCGACGACATGTCTATTAGTAAGAATCAACCCACGTTCAAGATCCACTACGAATCCAGTTGCTTCACTACAAAGAGCAGTTTCAGTATCGAAATGAGCAACATTTGAGAAATGAACTGAAACTACCGATTTGACAACTTTCGTTATAGTTTGTTGCCAACCTTTGCTATTTGTGACTGGAACATCAAAAACTGGTTGTTCGATATCTGAGTAATTAGAATCAGATTCAGAAGTTTCATCTTCTTGATCTCTTGCAATTCTTTTCTTGACTTGTCCATTTAATAGGCTATCTGCCTCTCTCTTTAATGGGTTATGTGACATCGATGGATGCTGATTCGTAGTACTGTAGTGAAGGTTATGATTACCTCTTAAAGCTTTAGTAAAGTTCGTAGTGTGATGAATAAAACGTAATTTTTTTTTTTCTATTTTCTTGGTGATGAGGCTGATGCGCGCACACGATAATCTTAAATTATTAGTTAGATTATACATTCCTAAGTGAATGAAAGATTACGTGGGTATGCGAAGAAGCAATTGTCTCAATTCTTCAATCACATTAAGTGTAAGTTTAGGGGTTTTAACATTTTTTTTCGTTTCACTTTTACAATTAAAGATTTGTTAACAGTTTTTTTTATTTTTCTGTATATTTTTGCATGTGTATAAAATGACGATATCCCTCTTTTGGAGAGAAGTCCCCAGGCTAGTTACGTTGGTTTAAATGCAAATCAACTAAGTTAGTTAAACTATCTACTTCTAAGAACCTACATTAAATGTGTAGTGTAAAATTCTCAAGCTCTTCGTATTCCGTTAGCTCGATCTCTCCCCTGATATTCAGGAGACGAAATGAATTTTCACTATCTTCTTAGGGAGAAAAAGAACAACACCTAGGCTCACAACTAAGCTCATTCCGGAAAGAATGAATACAGTGCCTTGGTACAACCGAAGATTGAAATATCTCCCTTGTTTGCCCAAAGTTGTAGACTAAAGTGCTAGAGGATTTGAAGCTTGTTATTATAAGAAGCTCTCATTGTGGTATCATTTCTGGAGAAGATTCAGAAACGTCAACTTCAACTTCAACAGCATCCAATACACTCTTAGACCAAGTTTCATAATATTCTTTCTGAGTATCTGATTCAAATAACATCTCACCATTTACCATTGCCCCAAATTGGCATAATAAATCCCAACCTTCCCCAATTCTTGCTTTCGTTTCAGCAATCTCATTGGCTTCCTCCATACTTTCTCTAGTATACATATATTTTTTCTCCATATCAACAACCCATTGTTCATCCTTAATCCAATCATTAACAGTATCACACCAAAATTGGAAATTCTTTTGTACTAATCCTCCTTTTTGATATTGGAAAAGTAATTCTAAAAATTCATTCTTTGCTCCTACTTTTGAAGATAATAATTTATTATTAATTCGAATATATGCAGCATGAATCATAGCAGTAGCTAACCACCAATCTGACTTTTTAACAAATTTATGTTTATGAATAAGAAATGACTGAACCATTTTGGCACTTATTTCTGCAGGAATATGAAAATTATTACAAAATGAAATGAAATCCAGTAACAGTACCGTTTTTCTATCGTAGAAATATGATCTCCTGCTTGGGCTTTTTTGTTCTTTGTTGTTTTCATCCAGTTTAGTTGGGGTGCTTTGTATCTTCTTTGGATTAAAGGGAGATTCTATATCTTTAAGACGTTGTTGTTTTGTTCTTTTTGTGTTTGGTGTAACTTCAGGATCATCATCTTCATTTTGAATCTGTCTCATTCTCTTCAAAGGTGAACCTGATGCAGGAGTATATGTTGTAGCGGTTGACGGTCTAGAAGGTGTAGTAGGTGGTTCTTGGAAAGCAACTTTTGCTTTCCTGGGACTCGATCTTGGTGATGATGCCGCCGAAGATGACGCAATTTGATCAATTAATTCTCTGAAATCATCAAGCAATTTCGATACTAATCTAGGTTGAATTGGGATTCGCATTATATCAGGTTCAGGTAAATTAAACATATCTTTATATCTTTCAACAACCAGATATGTACATAAATGATAACGAGCTATTTCTGCTTTGTTTGGAAGTACTCTTGTCTTTCGGGTACTTAGTTGATATAATGAATTTATATAATCCAATAGTTTTGGTGGGAAATCTCCATGATGATTAGGTAAAATATCTCGAAGAGATTGTTTAATTTGAACCGATGCCATGTTTAGTTAATGAGTTGTATCGTTGTTAAGACTTCTTGATGAGCGGTATCCATTGAAAATTGGAATGGGTGGTTTGTAATTGTTTATCACGTGCCATCTATATCCGGGTAACGTGTGAAACTTTTTTGAACCAACCAGAGGAAAAGAAAATTGATTACTTTGAAGAAAAAAATCAAACTGAAAAGTTGGCAACTATTGCAATCCAAGGAGACATAAACATAATACAAACAAAAATGTTATCTAGAGTATCTATAAGAGCATTACCAGTCAGAGGTGGAATTCGTTGTTTCTCAAATTCAACCCTTTTAAAACAAAAAGATATCATTGAAGCTGTTGACTACAGTGGAGCCGAAATCATTTCAGGAGCTCCAAAAGAATTAATCACCAAAAGATGTGTAAGAATCTATCAAGAAGCCAAGCCAGCAACACAATCAGGTACTTTTGGTACTAGAAACTGGAAATTGGATTGGGATATTTTAGGTAAAGGTAATAGATGGGAGAATGATTTAATGGGTTATCAAGGTTCGGCTGATTACATGCAAGGTACTATAATGAAATTCGATACTAAGGAATCTGCTATTAGATTTGCAGAAAATCAAAGTTGGGATTATTATATTCAAGAACCAAAAAAGAGACATTTCAGAAAGAAGGATTATTCTGCCAACTTTTACCATTCCGCTGGTCCATTGAAACATATTAGAACCAAGTAACCTTACAATCTTAAGATATTGTTCTCCTAAAGAAGAAACGACATTCTCGACCAAGAAATCATTCATAAATCCATGTATTTTAGTAGTATTTTTTTTATTCCTATTTATTTCACAATTTTCATTTTTACAAAACATTGCATTTCCATAAGTTTATTTGTTTCATGTTGTACAATTTTATTGTAGATTTAGTATCCAAGAGATTATTGCATCAATTGTGACTATTCTTGGGCTTATTTTCCTATGCTCTTGTTCCAGGGGAGTCAGTACAACAATCCTCTGTATGCTTTTCTTACTCCCTGATATTGAATGACCGATGAAAGGAGACAAAACGCGCGCAAGACGTCAAAAGTCAAAAAAAAAAGAAAAATTAAAATTACTTTATTTTAAAAAAAACCTCCATTTGAAAGATCTCCCCTTCTTCTTGATAAATTTTCATAGATAGTCATAAGCGCTAGAAAAGAAAATCAATACATATCTATATTAGACCTGAGAAAGCCTGTAAGTGTAATATATTCCTCGTTATTTGTTTTCTAGTCTAGTTTAAAAAGACTGATCTCAATTCAAAAACGGAGATTCACACAGGTGAAATAAAGTTTGATATGTCATACAACAAAGGCTATTACCATCGAGGGTATAGTGGTGGCTATAGAGATAGCCGATATAGATCTAATTATAGGGGGCACGACGATCAATATAGGAACAATCAAGGAAATCGAAGTGATGACTCAAGAGTCGGGGGAATGTTGAATCTAAACAAAGGTAGTCATTATGATGCAAGCGAAAACCGATATATCCCAGGAGCATCTCAGAATGGAGGAGGGAGTTCGTATTCATCAGAGAGAAATTCGAGAACACCACATCATCATGCCTCATCTGATAGTTTGACTTCTTCTGGTATGAGTACTCCAATGTCACACGCGGCTGCGGAACAACAACAAAGGAATACTGGATCAACTAGTATAACAACCGGAGAGAATCATAAGGATTCGGAATTTGCTAAATTACTTCTTCATAGCGACAATACCAAGATATTGCCATTCAGTCGACCTGTAGATCCGAAAAAGAACTATAAGGTTATGTATGATCCTGAATTCGATAAGAATTTATCTAAAGAAGAAAAGAAATCAAAATCGAAAAAGATAAGATTCAATGGAGAAGGAATAGATTCAAAAGAATTGGCAGATCCAAGGCTATCTCATCTAGCACAATATTTCCAAAAACCTAATAAAAAGTCTAAAAAATTTCCTTTCAAACAATTACCCCAACCCAAATTCATATTCGATAAAGATTCATTGGGTCCGGCACCCTTAACCCAATTAGTGGTTTGGGACCTTCCATCTACTACAAGTGAAGTATATCTATCTAATTATTTCAAGAGTTATGGAGATGCAATTGAAGAGATGAAGTTCATTAATGATCCAGATTATGGAGTTTCATTAGGAATTGCCACTTTTAAGTTCCAAGGAAATCCAGAAAAGGCTATGAGATTGGCCAAAAAATTGATTCAAACCGTTAAGATTGAAACTCCAAAAGTTGATGGGGTTCCTCTTAAAATTGCATTGAATGATAGTGAAGGTGAATTATTAAATCGAAAAATGAGAACAGCTAAAGACAAGCTAAAAGTACAAATATTAAAACGAGAGGAAGAAGAAAAGAAACGACAGAAACAATTATTAGAAGAACAGAAGAAGAATAATGAATTGAAGAAGAAAGAACTCGAAGAGAAGAAGAAGCAAGCAGAATTGGCAAAGACGAAAGCAAAAGACGAGCCTCCAACTAAATATAGACCAAATTCAACTATTCTTTCAATCAGACGACAAAATAAAGTCGTTAATGGGGTGTTTATGCCTAAAGATTTGAATAAATATATTAAAGATCGTCCATACATTTTTATTCAAGACAAGTATGTACCGACCAAGAAGATTTCATCTCATGATATTAAACGAGTTCTTAATAAATACGATTGGACAAGGGTATTATCTGATAAAACTGGATTTTATATTGTTTTCAACTCCCTAAAAGAATGTGAACGATGTTTTATGAATGAAGACGGAAGGAAATTCTTCGAATATAGAATATATATGGAATTGGCGATACCAGAAGGGTATTCTAAGGATGAAAATGAAGATACAGAAACCTCTTCAAACAAGAATGACATTATAGAAGAAGCTACCAATATGTTAATTAAAGAATTTCAAACATTTTTGGCTAAGGATATTCGAGAAAGAATCATTGCTCCTGCAATTTTGGATTTACTTGGTCATGAAAATTATCCAAAATTAGTAGAAGAATTAAAGAGTCAAGAAGAAATAATCAAACCTAAACCTATAATATCAAATAATCAGTTGAAACTAGATGCATTATCAATTCTCGAGAAAAAGAGACAGCAACAAAAACTCTCCTTACCTTCCTTCCGCAAAATTGATGACAAGGTGAATAAACGAAAAGCAAGAAAAAATTTAGTGCCTATGCAGCATGCACTTAATTTCGATGAAGAAGACGAAGATGAGGACGAGGAAGATGAGGAAACTAGTCGGTCAGTCACTCCTGTTGTTTCTTTGAAACGTGATCGTAGTTCAACTGTTACAAGTCCTGAAGAGGAAGAAGAGGATAATGACCAATATGTTAAAAAGCGGAAGAGAACTAAATTAGCTAGAGCATTAGAATCTGATGTGTCATCGGATGAAGAAATGGAAGAAGAGGAAGCAGAAGAAGAAGAAGAACAAGTGGTTGAAGAGAAAGAAGAAGAAGAAGAAATGGTTGGGCCGATATCTATGGAGATTGATTATGCGGATGTTGATCTTAAGTACCAGCCAACAGAAGAAGGTTCAGTTACAGTATATCCGGAATTACCACCATCTGCTGTGTTTGATTTGGAAGCTCTTCAAAATATCTTAAAGGATGAGGAAGATTTGAAAATCGCTCAAGAAGTACTCAATGAAGCCGAAGTTAGTTCCGCAAATACTAAGAACATCGAATATTGGGCATGGAAACAAAAGGCATCTAAACTTGTTGCTCAAGAGATCGCTGCAGAAGAAGTTGAAAATATCGAAGAGTTACCTTCTCATTTGGAATCAGAATCCGGTTCATTCCGTAGTGAACCATATAGAAAGATTAATGATGCCGATAAGATTCATTACTTACCTCATCGTCGAAAAATACATAAACCACTCAAAACCATCCAATATGAAGATGATGATGACGAAAAAATCAATGAAAATAATGCTATTCAAAGTTCTCGTGTCAATAGAGCCAAGAATAGGAGATTTGCTGCTGATATTACTGCCCAGATTGGTTCAGAATCAGAAATATTGAGTTTGAATGCGTTGACGAAACGTAAGAAGCCAGTAACTTTTGCAAGATCGGCAATTCACAATTGGGGATTATATGCCATGGAACCTATTGCAGCTAAAGAAATGATTATTGAATATGTGGGTGAAAGAATCAGACAGCAAGTTGCCCAACAGAGAGAACATGGATATTTGAAGACTGGTATTGGATCTTCATATCTTTTCAGAATTGATGAGAATACAGTTATTGATGCAACAAAGAAAGGTGGGATTGCAAGATTTATTAATCATTGTTGTAGTCCAAGTTGTACAGCTAAAATTATTAAGGTTGAAGGTAAAAAGAGAATTGTCATTTATGCATTAAGAGATATTGAGGCAAATGAAGAACTTACTTATGATTATAAATTTGAGAGAGAAACTAATGATGAGGAACGTATTAGATGTCTTTGTGGTGCTCCTGGTTGTAAAGGTTACTTGAATTGAGCAGACTATTTGTAAAACGAGATTTGTAGTATTTATTGTATAGTAATGTGTAACTGGATAATAAAATAGAGTAAATGACGAGTTGAACAGTACTGAACAGTTTCAATTGTATTTAAAATTCATCCTGAAGGTGATTGAGGGTAATTAAAGATATTTCACATTCTAGCTATATTGCAGCCATCCCTTGGCTCTTATAAACTTAGCCTATTAGGTTCTAAACTGGATGTTTATTTAATTCTCTGACAGATTTAACTGAATTAGGCTGCAAAATAAATAAATAAACAAAGAGTTGACAGATGAGGATAATAGTAATTTCAAGAAATTCACGTGATCAGTTGATGTTTTTGTTACTCAATTGAGATGAACCAAAAACAAAAATCGAAAAAGAAAAACAATTGCAAAATCTTGAATTCCTAATGTGGAAGAAATGTAAATAAACATTCAAACCCAGTTGAAGAAAAAAAAAAATTGAATGTAATTTTACACATATTAAACTTATAATTAATTCCTTTTACTTTCCAATTGTTTCAGAGACAAAGAAAGGGAAGAAAGTTTGTTTAAATATCCTTCATCCTATCCCGTTTTTGAAAACCCAAAATCCTACTTCAACTTAAGAGTTTTTTGTTTTGTTGTTTCCAATATTTGAGGATATTCACTTTTCCACCCAAAGTAGAAAACAAAAACATTCTGAACGAATTCTCGTTTAACGATTTCCATCTCATTAAAAAGAATCATAGCGGGTAACTAATTTTTTTTTTGATTTGCATAGCATACAGTTACAAGATCAAATCATATTTAAGCAAGTTGATAGAAAGAATCTACTCTATTGAGTTAGTAATAAAAACGAATCAAATTGAAATCAGTGTCAATCAAACTATACAAAATTTCACAGCCAAGTTGATTTATTTGTAACCATAAATACTTTCCCCTTTCATAGTAAATATACTGAATACAAATTCAATAAAATGTCTACACGTCGTGTTCAACCCTTGCAACCATTGAATAACGGTCAGTTAAATTCTAGACCTAGTGCAATCACTCCAATAAAACCAATTAAACTTGCAAAGGAAAACTTACAACCTACTGAAGCTAAACAACAAAAGAAAAAGAAGGAAAAATTATCTTCATTATGTAAGACTCCTCCTTCGATTGTCAGAACCAGAACAGGTAGAGATTATCGTCGTGGTAACTTCTTAGGTGAGGGTGGTTTTGCTCGTTGTTTTCAAATGAAAGATTCATCTGGTCAAATATATGCTGCTAAAACTGTCGCAAAAGCTTCTATTAAGAATGAAAAAACCAAAAATAAATTATTATCAGAAATTAAGATTCATAAATCTTTAAAGCATGCTAATATAGTCAACTTTGTTGATTGTTTTGAAGATGATATCAATGTGTATATATTATTGGAAATCTGTCCAAATCAATCATTGATGGAATTATTGAAAACTAGAAAACGAGTGTCTGAACCTGAAGTTAGATACTTCATGGTCCAAATTGTTGGTGCTATTCAGTATTTGCATTCTAGAAGAGTGATTCATAGAGATTTAAAATTAGGTAATATCTTCTTTGACCCAGAAATGAACTTAAAGATTGGTGATTTTGGTCTTGCATCAGTTTTACCAGCTAATGATTCAAGAAAATATACCATTTGCGGTACTCCAAACTATATTGCGCCAGAAGTTTTAGGTGGTAAGCAAACTGGTCATAGTTTTGAAGTTGATATTTGGGCAATTGGTATTATGATGTATGCATTATTAATTGGTAAACCTCCATTTCAAGCTAAAGATGTTCAAGTAATTTATGATCGCATTAAAAAAACTGAATATACTTTTCCTGAAGATAAGCCAATTTCAGACTCAGCAAAAGCATTAATTAAGGATTTATTAAGTTTAAATCCTTTGAATAGACCAACTGTTAATGAAATTTTAAACTATGAATGGTTTAAAGGTCCATTCCCAGACAAGACTTATGAAATAAGTTTAAGTGAGACTCCTGTAGGTCTTGAACAAATTACCAGAACTCAATCGGCAATCAATTTCACTAATACAAAGACTAATGCTGGAATCTATACTCCAAGATCTAAGAATCCGGTTGAGATATTACGCTCAGATTTGCATTCAGAACAACCAAGAGCCTTGCTTCCAACATCTTTGTCTCCAAATGATACTAGAAGCAAATATCAAGAAGTTGATCCAAGTCAATTGGGAAAACCAAGAAGAGTTAATTTCAATTCGAATTTCTCGACTTCAATTAAACGTCTCAATCAAATCTGTTATGAAACATATCAAAATATGAGAAGACTAGAGTATTCGAAAGATACTAATTCCTTGGAATCATTGGAATTACCTCAATGTGATAATCCTACTTTGATTAGTAAATGGGTTGACTATTCGAATAAGTATGGTTTCTCCTATCAACTTAACAACGATGATATTGGGGTTTTATTCAATGATGAAAACACTATACTTAAATTAAACAACTCAGATAGATTCTTAGAGTTGATTTATCATGAAAATGAAGGCTGGACATGTATTGAAAACTCAGTTAGTCATCCGCCAACTCAAGCAAAGAGACAATTAGAAATTGTCGATTTCTTTGCCAAATATATGAATAGTAATTTATCCAAAGTTAGTGATATAGAAAAGAGAAAAGAAACCGTCTTTTTAAGACGTTATTCTAGAACTCCAGAATATATCATGTTTGAAATGACAAATGGGAATTTCCAATTCAATTTCAAAGATCATCATAAAATCTGCATATCCAAATTAGGGTTGGCTATAACTCACATATCTCCAAATCGTGTAACACAAACCCAGCCATTAATCCTGGTTTTAAAACACGGAAACTTCCCTAATGAAGACGTTCCAGATTGCTTGGAAAAGGTTGCTGTCATCAGAGATGCTGTTAAAAGAAAGGCTTTTAAAGAGACATTATAAATGAATTCAAGGTAGTCTACCTTTTTGCGTTTTTTGGTGCATCGCTAAATTGTTTATTACTACCTATTCTTTAAAGTACAACCCATTTAGCAATCAATCATTTTCTTTTAACAATTTGCCCCTATCAGCAAAGAGTCATTTTTCACTTCATATAAACAAACTATTTGTTACGACTGTATTTCCAAAAAGATTTAAATTTTAACCTTTTTATATATTACTTTGCTGCCATTTTTTTAGCATTCTTTTAAATACATACTAATATACATTATCATAGAAAAATCGTACTTGCCATTTTCTTGGTAGTCGCTCTATAATGGATAGTAGGTTTTCCCAAGTTTTACTTGACTTGTTTTCCTGTCTGTCTCTGTGTTCGTCCACCCTACAATATTAATACAATAAGTTTATCTAATACTCATCTTCGTTACTATTCAATAACGCCTTAAGTGCCCATTCGTCATTAAATCTACTCTTGATAACATCCAATTCACTGATTAATCCAGAACAAGCATTTTTCAAAGCTTCTCTTGGAGAATAATCATCCTCAGTCTGAATTCTTAATACAAAATTGGCAAATAATGGATGTTCAACTTTATAAGCTGCAAAAATGACCTTTTCATCTTTTAATAACTGATCTCTTAATAAGTTTGCTAATGTATGATCTTCCCTTTCTATCTTTACAATAGCTGCATTTGGAACCTTTGTATCCGGAGTAATTTTTATTCTTTATAATTTGTTAATAATGAATCAATCTAAAAAAAATTATTCGAAAAGAAAAACATACTTATCCACTCCATCTGGCAATATAAATAACTCAAATCTATCTGGTGCATTCATCTTCTCTTTTCCCTGAATGTATTTAGATGAATAAGGTCCAACCCTTTACTAATCAATTGATATTGGTGAAGATTTTCAAACGAAGTGTACCACACAAAAAAATTACAGATTTCTATCACGTGCAGAATTCGAAATTTGATCACGTGTTGCGACTCCGGGTAACAGACCGCTGATAAGAAAAAATTAGATGAAATAAGGTTTTGAATGTATTACCCGGCGCCCAGTAAATTGTTTCCTCCACTTGTGTGATGAAAAAAAGAGGGCCAAAAGCCAAACCCATTTCAATTTCAATCAACAATCTTTCCCATCTTACCAACTACTTTGATTTAGTTATCTAACTTGTGTTCCTAATCAAATACTATCTAACAAAAATCAAATAACAACTTTTTTCATTTCACAATCATTGCATTTGACCATAACTAGAATTCTAATTTGATTTCATTTTGATTGAGAAGAGCTGGTTATAAGTGAAAGAAATAAAATAGGCGGAATAGATCCAAGAAAACTCGAAAGATAATTCAACATGACTAATCAACAGGATCCTTGGAATCCGCAACAACGTCCCCTTGGACAACAGTTTAAGTATGTAACAAGCAAACGCCCTAGGGCATTCATTCAAATGTTTTTGACATGTGGATTTTTTTACTAACAAATTTATCAAAATAGTCGTCAACACCCACCGGTTTTACCTCCACCAGCAACATTAGAGGCAGGTATGTATATTTCTATCAACATTTCAATAGCCGTGATTATATTTCCGGATTACTAACTGATTTTAATTTTTTAGGTGGACAATCATTTTACCCTTTGCCTAGTTTACCAAGTTTAGGAAATGGAACTGGACATCCTCAACATGCATTTAGCATTCCATCAATCAATCCAGCTAGTGAACCAACACAATTAGGACAGGTACGTATCAATCCCATCCAGAGATCTGAATTTTTACAAAGAGAACGCCCGATACTAACGTATTTACAGAGTCAACCACAACAACAACAAGATCAACCAAGGCAAACTACAGAATTAAGACGGCCATCAAATGTAACATTAAATCCCCCACCATCACAATTATCCCCAGCAACATCTATTGCTCCTGCACCAGCAGTTTCCGAGCAACATGTTCAACAAGTTGGTTCACTCCCTCAACCTCCCGCATTAGCTGGAATTCCAAATCGATCAAGTACAAGTAATGTTTACAGACCTTTAAACGTTAAGGATGCTTTATCTTATTTGGATCAAGTGAAAATCCAATTCTACAATCAAGCGGATGTTTATAACAATTTTCTTGATATTATGAAAGATTTCAAATCTCAAACGTATGTATCATTCACTCCCCCCTTTGAGTTCTAATGTCTTCACTACCAGGTGGAATGGAAAAATTAGAAAGGAGAAGAAATTCCGTCCTGCACACAGAACCTTATTTCCCTTTCCTCTTCCAGACTTTTCCGCTGTGATAACATTTTGAAAAATGACAATATGCAGGCAATACTAACAAAATTCTAGAATTGATACACCTGGCGTTATTGACAGAGTTTCATCATTATTTAGAGGGCATCCTAATTTAATTCAAGGGTTTAACACGTTCTTACCCCCTGGATATAAAATTGAATGTTCTTTGGATCCATCTGACCCCAATCCAATTAGAGTTACTACACCAACTGGTACTACAACTAGACCAAACCTTGCTGCCTATAATCAAAGATGGGGCAGTGAAGAATCACCAGTACAACCACAACAACCAGTTGCAGCACCTCAATATCAACCAGAACCACAAAATGTTCAAGATTCTGCAGCAGGAGGTGGTCAGATTGAATTCAACCATGCAATTTCATATGTCAACAAAATCAAAACCCGTTTTGCTAATCAACCAGATATTTACAAACAATTTCTTGAAATTCTTCAGACTTATCAAAGAGAACAAAAGCCAATTGCTGAGGTATATGAACAAGTCACTCATTTGTTTGCAAATTCTCCAGATTTATTAGATGACTTTAAACAATTCTTGCCCGATACCAGTAATCAACAGGCTTATCAACAACAACAACAAGCCCAAGCTCAAGCTGTACAAGAGGGTGGGTATTATGTCAACAATGGTGCACAATTGCCACCAGTTGGAAACTTTCAACCTCCAACTGGTCCAGCCGGTTTAAGTCCATCTGCTTCACATCAATATTCTCAACAAGTCACTTATCATTCTACAGGTAGTCCAGAACCACAAGGTGGTATGTATCCAAATGAGCAACAGGTCCAAAAGAAGAAAAAATCAATATCTGAACCTTATCATGATTATAACCAAGAAGCGCAAGTTTCAGGTATTCGTTCTAGTGTCTCTGGAAAGACCGGGAAGACTCCTACTGCAGTTAGCAAAGGTGTTCCAACTCCTGTTAATCCAACTTTAGTTCCAGGTATTCCTGAACCAATTCCTCCTTATGGAGCAGCTAAGGTTTCTTCATTCCTGGAAGAAATTGGTTTCTTTGATAAAGTTAAGAAGGCTATTGGAAATAAGCAAACTTATGGTGATTTCTTGAAAGTTTTGAATTTATTTGCTCAAGATATTATTGATAAGGATACATTAGTTGAAAGAGTTGATGGTTTCCTTGGTGATACTAATCCAGATTTATTTAATTGGTTTAAGATGTTTGTTGGATATGAAGGAAAGCCTCAAAATATCGAGAACATTACTTTCAAAAAGCATCAATTGGAACTTTCATTGTGTAAAGCATATGGTCCTTCATATAGACAATTGCCAAAAGCAGAAACTTATATGCCATGTTCAGGTAGAGATGAAATGTGTTGGGAAGTTTTAAATGATGAATGGGTAGGTCATCCAACATGGGCTTCTGAAGATTCAGGATTTATTGCTCATCGTAAGAATCAATATGAAGAAATTTTGTTTAAGATTGAAGAAGAAAGATTAGAATTTGATTATTATATGGAATCTAATTTAAGAACTATCCAAATATTAGAAACAATCGCTAATAGAATCGCTAATATGACTCCAGAACAAAAGGCAAACTTCAAGTTACCACCTGGTTTAGGACACAATTCCACTACTATTTATAAGAAAGTTATAAGGAAGATTTATGATAAGGATCGTGGATTTGAAGTTGTTGAGGCTTTGCATGAAAATCCAGCAATTGCTGTTCCAATTGTATTGAAGAGATTGAAGCAAAAGGATGAAGAATGGAAACGTGCACAAAGAGAATGGAATAAAGTCTGGAGAGAAATGGAACAAAAGGTTTTTTATAAGTCATTGGACCATCTAGGATTAACTTTCAAACAAGCGGATAAGAAACTTTTGACAGTGAAACAACTTGTGAGTGAAATCAGTACTGTGAAGATTGAACAGCAAAACAAGAGATTACATCCTTTGACTCCAAAGCCTCAAGAGCAATTGAATTATTCTTTCAAAGATAGTGGAATCTTGTTTGACATTTTAAAGCTTTCTGATGTTTTTATTAATCGGTCTTCAAACTATTCATCTGGTGATAGAGAGAAATTAACTCAATTTTTCCAATTCTTTGTCTCGTTATTCTTTGGTATACCGACTGAAGTTATTGAACAAGCATTAATTGAAAGAGGAAAGACCGAAAAGACTGAAGAAATCCAAGAAGATGCTGAAAATACCGATTCCAATGCAACATCGGAATCTGCTTCGAAAAAGAGATCAAGAGAAGCTGACTTACTTAAAGATGTCTTGAAGAAACAATCAAAATCTAAGAAGGAAGATCGTCCAGATTCTCCAGGTCCTCAAACTTTAGATGCTGCAATTCAAGAAGTTACAGAAGAACTTGAAAGATCTAGTGAATTATGGATCAAATCCGCAAACACCAAGTTTTCATTAAAGGATGATGAAGGCTCTCAAAAGAGACGTGATAAGTTTAACTTATTCTGTAACACCGCAATTTATGTATTTTTCCGTCATTTGAGAACCTTATATGAAAGATTGGAGGAAATTAAAGTCATGAATGAAGCAGTAGGAAAAGAAATCAGAAGCCGTAAAAATCCACAATTTGCTAAGGATTTGAACTTGCTTTCACATCAATTGGAAGATATGGGTGTTGAAATTGTGGGAAGCAAGGATTGCTATAATCAAGTATTAAGTTTGTCTGAGAGATTGATTGAAGGAGATATTGAGCATCAATGGTTTGAAGAAAGTTTACGTCAAGCTTATCGTAACAAGGCATACAAAATCTATACTGTTGATAAAGTTGTTCAAGCATTGGTGAAGTATATGCATAATTTGATTACTGATGCCAAGACCTCGGAAATGATGGTATTGTTTGAAAATGATAGAGTAAAACCAACCTCCAGTGCAAAGGATCAAATATTGTATCGAATTCAAGTGAGATCATTAATGGCAACAGATGAAAATATGTTCAAGATTTCATTTAAAGAAAGTGATAATTCAGCCAATATCCAATTTGTTAGTTTGGATGATTTAACTATTAATGATCATGAGAATTCGGAAGAACAGTACAATTATTACGTTACTAGTTATGTGATGTCTCATCCTACTGAAGGTGTACCTGCATCCAAGTTGAATATGCCATTCTCTAGATCATTTATTGAATCAGTTGATGAAGACAATGTTGAAGGACGTACTACTACAGGTTTGAAGGTTTCTGTTTGTGAAAATTCATATAGATTATTCTTTGAAGCAAATTCCCATGATGAATATATCACAAAGGCGGTGTACAACAAGCAACCAGAAGATGTTAATAAGAAGTCTGACAAGGTTGATGAGCTCAGAAAGTTCTTGGAAGGTGAATCTGGTTGGAAGTCTACCATACCAGAAGACCACGATAAGGAAACAGACGCTTTGGAAGAAGAGATTAAGGTTTTGTATGAGAAAGGTGCTTCAGAGTATCAAGATTTTGTAAAAAAGAAGGATGCTGAGCTTAAAGCTACAGCTGAAAAAGAAGAGGCTGATAAGGCAGCTGCAGATGCTCAAGATATCGAAATGAGAGATGCTGAAGCTGCTAAACAAGCAGAAACGGAAACTGGAGAAAAACCTGAACCTAAAGAAGATCAACCTCTTGCTCAAGTTCCAACGTCAGATTCTGCCAATCAAGATCAAAACGATACGGTAGTTCAAGCAGAAGTGAATGACACAACTGTTCAACCAGATGTTAACGAAACTACCATTCGTCAGGAGGCCAATGATGATACTACAATTCACCAGGACGCCAACGAGACTACCCTTCCCCAAGATGCAAATGACACTGTACTTCAACCAGATGCCAATGATACTACTGTTCAACAAGATGCTAATGATACAGCTGCTGAAGTGACGACTATTTTAAATACTCAAGAAGCAACTGTTATTAAAACGGATTCCGAATCAACTCCTGCTGCACCTTCATCTAGTGGTTAAAAGACTTATATTTCTATTTTTGCTGTTTTTTTGCACGTTTGTATTTTTTATTTCTTGCTATTAAATAATGTTGTTGTTTTTTATTTTATTATTTTTGTTTTATAAAGTTATCTTGTTATTATTGTGTATTAAATATAAAATTGTCTATTTATAAGGTCAATTATTACTACGTAAATCGTCTCTCGGCTGCAGCTCTAGCTAGTCTTTCCGTCGCCATGCTATATGCCAATTTTGCTCTCTGATTAAGTCTTTGTGATACAAAATCTTTTCTTCCTCTTGCAATTAACAATCTTAATATTATATCTTCTTTCAAAATCTTGTTGGTGGTAGGATCAGCTCTATTTTCTTTTGCTTCTTCGGCAGCTTGAGCTCTGGCTTTGGATGTCGCATTGGCAAGAATCGTCTTTGATCTTAATATACTCTCAGTTCTGAGAACTGATCGTTTTCTTGATCCCTGCTTGACAGAAGATGGTTCCGAAACATCGAAATTGTTCCTATTGGAAAGCATTTGCGCATATGCTGGAGATAAATGTTCAACTTCCTCTATTAAATATTCATCAGGTTGATCGTATAATGTAGGAATAAAAAGCAATGATTGATATTTATCTGTTTTTAATTCTTCCATGGGAGGACCATTACCTTCGTTATGAAAGAAACTTGCTAATAAATTGAGCCAACCTAGCACGGTTTCTAATTCATTAATAGTTAAGGGGGCATCATTACCAAGGATCCCAAGTGATACAGTGGCGAATTTTGAAGACATTGATTGCCAACCTTTCCCTACTATATCTGCATTAATCTTTGCTTTTGAAAGTTTTGGAAGTAATAATTCATCAGCTCTAGATACAACAACTTTCCAAGTTTCGACCATTACTTTCATAAATATTTCATCGGTTAAATAATGTTTTAAAACACTTAAATTCATATTTAAATAATCACATAAATTTTCAATTGCACTTTCAAATTCTTCTTTTGAAGGTTGTCCTTTCCCACAAACAGATTTCAAATTTGCTCTTGAAAAACAATCCTCTATAAATCCGGAAAACTTCTCCACAATTAATTTAATTGCCCTTTCTTGGGACCGTTTAAGTGCTCGATATGCTCTTCCCATCACAAATATCGCATCATGAGTTTCGGATTCCACAGCAACTTCAATGGCTAATCTCCCTTGAAGATCAAGATCAAGATATATTTCTTGAGGCATACCATCATGTTTAAATTTTCGAGGATTTAATTCAAGAAATGCTTTGCCACATAATTGATGTTGGGCAAATTTCTCATCCCATACCAAAGTAGATAATTCAAGGGTTGTGTTTGGCGGAAGAGTGATTTCAAATTCTTCATCCCAATCAGGATCAGTTGCTCCGGTAAGTGATCTGGTTTTGCCAATTAGTTTCTTGGCTTTGAAATCAACTAGACTGACATATGGATTTACTCTGGAACCAACACTAGTTTCTGAGGATCGGAGGTTTTCTCCACGGATTATACGTAATGTGAAAACATGACTTAGGTATCTGCTTTTTGAATTTGGATCATAGGTGGATAATGAATTCGATATTGATTCAGGATCAAGCCATTCTTCTAATTTTGTCAAGTTGTTCATCATAGCTGATAAGTTATTTAATGCAATACATGTACGTGGTTGGAAATTGTAGACAATTTCCGGTTCATGTCGAGTAAAATTTTGGATATTTGATACGACATTCTTCACCTCATTTAACCAATTTGAAGCTTTATTTAAATCCTTATCTTCATTTAATTCTTTCGGAGGTTCTAAATCCTGGGCAATAATAGCTGTAACTTCCTCGGAATAAAATAATGCTCCATTTGAAATACTTTTAAGCAAAGTAGTATATACTTTCGCCAATTGAAATTCCTCACACCAATTCTGTTTTTTCAAAGTAGTAAGATATTGTTTGATTATGACAAATATATCAAGAACGGCATTTGAGTTCTTCTTCGCATCATCTCCAAGATCAATGGGTACAAATGCATCACTTTCTAATGCATGCTTTACAATATCACGAATCTTTTCATTACTTTCTTCGATCCAAGCTTCAAGAAATGGGAAAAAGAATTCTTCTAAGTCAAATTGGAATTTTGATCCTGCGGGAGTTACTTGATTATGAATATCTCTAATTTCACTTAATGATTGATATATTTCTAATGCATCTCCATATGGAATGAATTCTCCTTTCTTTGCTGCGTAGTTCTTGATATGGGTTAATATCACTTTTGCATCACTAGCAAACATACCAGTAGTTATAGCTGCTACAGTTCTTGAAACATTCAAAAATCCTAATAAAGGATTCTTATATCGTTTTTGTAATGTCTTAATATCACCAACTAAAGAATCACAGATGTTAAATACATGAATTACGCTTAATGTATTATCTCTTGGTAAATTGGCAAGGTATTCTCCATATCTAGTTCCTGCAACTTTTAATAAGAATTTCGTAAGTCGTTTCTCCCATTTTTTTGTTATTCCCGATTCCTCTATTTTGGGGAATAAAGAATCTGATTCAATATAATCACCAAGAAACATCAACAAGGGCCCAAATTTCGGTTTTGATTCAGTATTAAAAATCAACAGTAGATTTTCACGAATTGAAACAAATATTTGATTATAAGTTTGTGCCAAATTCGAAACCCAACCTTGTTGATCTTCAATTGCCCAAAGATCTTTATCTTCCCATTCCATTCCTGCATCAGTTATGATCTTCTTACATACTGAGAATACTTTTTGGGTTGCAATCATGTTTATAGGTGATATTTTCTTAGAATCAGATTGTGGTGAATCCATAAATGCATTATTGTCATGACCTGCAGTATATATTGCTACGACTCTTGTGGGGAAATCTATAAGCCAAAGTCTAGCACAAACACTAATTAAATCCAATGATGCTTTTCCTAAATATGGTTTATCTGGATCTGAATAATCAATTTGTTTCTCCAATCCAACTATAAGTTTAGCTAACATAAAAAATAGTGATCTTGATTCTTCTGGTTTGGGTAGAACATAATATTGTTCACCTTGCGGTACTGGTGGGATTGATAATAGTGTGGAATCGGCAGGAATTTTATATTTTGACATTAATTGATCAGCCATGGCCTTTTGACGTTCCTTACACTGAGATCTAGCTTCTGCAGATGTGAATGTATCAAGATTTCTGCCTGATTGAAGAAATTCTTTAATGTCTCTATGCAATGGCTTTGCAAGTGATATATCTTTATACTTAAACACATCTTGTTGCAATTTAATATCATCTACGTTGAAAAGTGATTTTAATAGATTTATTGAACTCTTATTGAAATCTGTGAGTCGATAAGATTTCTTTGGATATTTTACATTTCCATCAAATTGATCTTGGGTAGATGGTGTTCGTTGTTTAGAAGACGTGAACGACTGCTTGGTGTCTTGAAGTTTTGAGATTATAGCTGAATCTTTCTCCTTAGTTGAGTTTACTATATTAATAAGCATATCAATGAATTTTCTTGTTTGGCTAAACACAATTTCACTCAATTCATCATCAGCATAATTATATATTTTCTTTAATTCTTGATTGGCACAGGCAGCAAATTTTGGAATTAAATAGTCAACTTTCTTTAAATCTTTCTCCTTTGATGGGTCAAGTAATTCTCCATATAATCTTAATAATGATCTTCTAGTCTTTTCATCAACTATTGTGGTATTTGTCATTACACTTTTCAATTTCTCATTAAGCATTTTCATAGCAGAATCAGGTAAATTCTGATCATATAATATACTCATACGAGATGCTCGTTTATTCAGCATGACATTGGGTTCTATAATTGGTGTCCAAAATCTTGCTTCATTGCTATATTCTAATAATATGACTTTTATGACGTGTTTATATAATTCATTAATATCAATTGTAACTAAATTTATCGGACTTGGGGTTTTAATAATGTTGGTAGATGCTATACTTGTCGTTCGACTATGGATTGAAGGTCTTGACATGTCTCCACTAGAATTTTAGCCCTATTTGATCAGTTGTTCGCAAGTCAAAACGGTTATTAAATTTAAAAGAGTTTATAGTTTGATTGTGTGTTTTAAAGTTCGTATCGACTTGGAATATTTCGTTTTAGATTTTGGCAGCACCAGTGCTGCCTCCCTCCCCAAAAAATTTAAGTGATTGATCTTTTTTTTTTTCTTCTTGTTTGGAGTAAAATTTATCCCAATATGGAAATCTACTCGGGTGTTGAGAGAAAGATTTTTGATAACCATAAGAAGGAAAGTACTAACAAAGGAATAAAAGAAGCCGTCCTGTTTATACTTTGTTGTAAGTTAAAGTTAGTGAAATGTTGAATTTCTCCATGAATTTGCGGGATTGATTTAAAGTTTTAATACTGTGGCTCATAATCCTTACTCTTTATAAATTCGCTTCCGCATAATCACACGATTGGGAGATATCAATTGACCAATTGCTAACAAGTAATAATAACAATAATATTTCTAATTATACAATTACAGAAAAGAAAGACGGGTTACTAATACACTTCTAATAATATAAAAAAGACGAAATCTCATTTAGTTGTGAGACTTTATATTCAAACTTTCATATCTCTAGTACGTACTGTCATGAGATAGATCTGTTTCCTTCATTTATATGTGGAAGGTCTAGGGAATTATTTATACATTTCTTGTGGTTAGTGATATCTTCCTCGGTATGCTTGCTGCTGGACTCTTTGGTACCACGGTTGTATTAGATACAACCCCAATTTATGCAGAACTTAATTCTTCTACATCACTTTCGTCATCCGCTTCTTGTTTTGTCGTTACAACTGGGGTCAGGCCCGCACTCAATTCTTCAGGTTTATAAATATGAGTACTTAATATCTTATTCATCTCAAATGCACCAACCATTTCTATAATTATCAGTTAGTAAATCAACAAATTCTTTCTGAAGATTTGACAAGCTTAAAAATTATACATACTTTTCTTAAATAATCTTTGTAATTTTTCATCACAATTAATTTGTCGTTTATCACTTGGATTTTGTAAATTACGATCTTTAATATATATCCAAAGTTGTTTAACAACTTGTGGTCTAGATAATTTGGCTACTCCTAATACATCTTGAAGTTCTGTAGATAATACCATTTCCCGATTAAATGGATTATTAGGAGCTGGTGCACGCTCTTTTTTAGCCCTCGGCTTGGGTGATTTCCTAGTTTCTCTTGTTCTTACCTGTCTTCCTCCGGCTCTACTTAATTCATCCCGCAGCAATTTGGCTGCCAAAAGAGCATCTTTACGTTCCATTTCCTCCTTTTCTTTTTTGGCTCTTTTGACATTTTCTTCTCGTTTATCTAATAATTCATAGTATCTACCTAATATAAGGTCATTTATTTCTTTCTGATTATAACTGTTAGTAAAAAAAAATCACTCTAATTATCAAACTTCAAGGGAGGGAGATATACATACTTTATGAGGTTGGAAATCTATTCCGAATAATTCTTGTAATGCATTTCTTATCTTCTTTACGGTAATTTGTTCCAAGTCAGCCACACTTAAGATTGCCTAGTGTAAGAGTTAGTTAGTATTTCAAAATTTAATGTCAATAATAAAAGAAGAACGAGCACATACATCTATTGTTGGTAGATATCTATCAGGATCATAATCTGTACTCATTTTGTGTTAATATCCAAGTTGGGGGTGGGAGTCTTTATGCAATTTCTTGTGATCCTTTTACCGAAACAAAAATTTTTGATTGAGGGTGAGAGAGAGGGTTCAAATTTTTCATTTGATCGCGCGCGCGTCTACAATTGTTCGAATATTATCAGGGTTTAACTGATCGCGTTCCACAATCGGCTTCAAAACCGTCCTATAATGGCTTATTCTATTTTTCAAATAACTACAATAGGCTCGTTTAAATAATATAACCTGTTCTTGCCGAGGTCATTATAGATGGCAAATGGAACCTTCTCAATTTTACAGTCTAGAAATTTAATCAGCAAAGTTTCTAATAAATACTTGTGTTCTCGGTTAACTCTGGAGATTGAAAAACTTCTATAGAAAGATAGATTAGAACAAGTAGATGATATAGTTCAATACAAACAGTATTTCTCTTTCGATCAGTGTATTGGAAACAGAAAACGGTACATTTGTCAACACTCGTTTCCTGATAAATTCCTTTTATCGTGACAAGCCTTGGACACTTGGACTATTAAATCTTTAATGATAATATTAAAAAACTGTCTATTCAACTTCCAACTAATATACAAAAAGGCTACCCTAAAAATAACTATATTACAAAATTTATTGAGCCTGATTCTTTAAATTTCGTTTATGTTGTAATTCATTCTTCTTAATCAATTTCTTTCTTTCAGCACGTTTTAAAGTTCTTGGATCAATTAATTCATCAGGAGTATTCTTAACTTTATCTTCAACTTCAACCAACCATTGATCATCCAACTCTTTATTCTTACCCTTATATCCCCATTTAGGTACCCATTCACCAGTAGCTTCGTCATAAACCATCTTACCATCCTTGGCTTTGGCTTTAATACCCTTTCTAGCTGCAAATTGTTCCCATTTGGTTGGTGCTTTGGCTTTAGGAATGGCTTTTTCTCTAGGTAAGGGAGTAGTTGGTTCAGGTAACTGAATCAAAGTCATAGTTGAATTTTGACCAGTTGAAGATCCATGAGTTTCAGTAGTGGTTTTGACTGGAAGTGATAAGATTTGATTAATTAATAATTGTACATTATCACGAGTTATTGATGTTAAATATTTTTCCTTTTCAGCTTCATTTTTTAATTTATCATTATCAAGAGGATTTGGATCAAATGTTGCCAAATTCCCAAGATCATATGTGTTGGGGATTGGCTTATCTACTGTGACTGGTTTATATTCTTTTTCGGATGACATATTTGTTTCTATAAAAATTGTTGATGAATCTGTAACACTGGTTTGATATTGAAAGAATGTAAAATATATTTTTCGAGATGAGGATGGAAGATGAGGAAAATTTAATTTTACCAAAAAAAAAAAAAATGAGCCGCACCATTTCCTAATCTGGAAAGCTATCTTCTTCTCATGCTATTCAACATCCATACTGAAACTAATGCCATAACAGCAATGGCACCACCCGTCATAATCATATTCTTAACCTTTTCCTGATCAACTTCAGGTTCTTTTTCCAATCCAGGAGTAGCCGATGAAGGATTCTTAGCCGCATCTACTAATTGTATAAATAATTCATGAAGTGATGCAGTCCAAGCAGATGAAATATGTACCGGAGAACTTAAATATAAATCTCTTGTATAATTCTCAGGTTGAACATCTGATCTTTGTTGTTGTTTATCAAGATCCGCTTTCAATGCCACAAATACCGATGGTATTTCATCTAATTGATGTGAATGCTGTTCTCTTAAATCTACCAAATATTGAAATGAATCGGGATCAGAAGAATCATAGGCATAACAAATGACATCACATTGATCTAATCTAGTCTTGTTTTCAATAATTGCCGACTCTAATTCTCCAAGTTCTTCCAAGATCAAATAACATTGTTTCCCACCTCGTAATTCAATATCTTTAACTACTAATCTTGGTCTTATTGTAGGTGAATATATTTCACTATATGAATCGTGTAAAAACAGTTCAAGTAATGAACTTTTCCCTGATTTTGGAGCTCCTAATATAAAACAATTAAATACATTTCGATCATTAACTGAATTTCGATAAAATTTCCCTTGTCTTTGTCTTTTCTTTCTTGGCTTTGTTATCTTTAATGCCTTAATTGAACTACCTTCATCAAATCCTAAATATCCCAAATATTCTAATGTGGTTTTATAACTTAAAAAAGTAGTTAGATTCCATTGTGCCAACCAACCTTGTAATGTAACATATCCTTCTTCATTACAAACAATCGATGCTGGGAATTGAGTCTCCACCCATAATTTAGGAATCCCAGGAGTAGGTCTGAATAAATTATTTAATTCATCTTCATTTAAACCCCCGTCATTATCTTTATCAAATTTTATAAATAAATCAACAAAGAATCTATATCCGCTAGGACTTAATTCAACACTTGAATGGGGATTAACTTCAAGTGATGGGAATAAGAATTTATCACTTAAGGATAACGAATTTGTATAATTGAATGCTCTTAATATACACCAAATAGTTTCATGTCTACCTTCTTCAGCATACATTCTATTTAGGAGTATAAACCCATCTTCTGAAATTCCATCAATATTTGAAGAAAGTTGATCAGGTAAGATTTTTCGATTTAAATGATTTACAATATCTTCATATTCCATTTCTGTAACTGGTTCTTCAAAACATTTTTCATGCAATTTTGATAATTCATTAAAATTTAAATATCCATCTTGATCAGTATCACTTAAAAAGAATATTCTCTTCAATGCGGCAATTGCGGCTGGTTTAAGATTTCCTTCCTTAGCATCAAATACGGGGGATATTGGATGAGTGACTGCCCTTTGACATAAATAAAATGCTTCCACCACATTATAGTTATTCTTGGAACTACATCGTATGCAAGCTTCTATTTCTTTGAATTCATTTATTAATGGAATGAATTCATCTGAGTTCTGGTTCATAGTCGATTTTGACAGCGTCCCATTGGTGGTAGTAGAGTCTGATTTATTTGCACAGACAATAATGGGAAGATTGAGTCCCATTGATCTAAACATAGGCACCCAATGAAGAGATATACGTTCATATGTATAATGATCTGAATAAACTAACCAAATGACATCCGCTCGTTTTAATTCCTTTTGTAAATTAGCCATATCTGATGATGAAGTATCCACAATGGTTGTGAAATTGGGAATATATTTCAGAATGTCTGTAGTTCCTGATTCTTGAAATCTCAGTAATAGATCACTAGATTTCTTGGGTTTATGTCTTCGCTTGGTTGTGGTTGGTGGCGGGTTTTCTAATTCTTCAAAACTCTCAACATAATCATATCGGGAGATAGTTATTGGTGGCAATACTGTTTGTTGAGTATCAATGATTGTTTCTTTAATTAATGATGTTATTAATGATGATTTCCCAACGGATTCATCTCCACATACAACTACTCGTAATGTATCTTGGAACATGCTGCTGTGTTTGTTCTTCTTATAATCAGATGGTGTTGCATTCTGATTATTTTTTTTTTACGTGCTGCCAATTTTATGGTTCAGCTTGATGTGGCTCAAGGTCCAAGAGACAGTATCTAGGGACCCTCTAGATGGCCTAGGTTGGACCGAAGAGTTGAAGAAGATGGCTAGATACTCTATACTACAAGCTATATAGAATGTAATATTACTTCCTTTTATATTCCCATTTCATTAACCTCATTATAAAATCCTAATATCTATACATTTTTCCCTTTGTACAACTAAACCCTAAATATATTAAAATCATCAACAATTGATCCAGAAGTATCAGAAAGTTGGGAAATAAATCGTTCCGGATCTCTTGCTACTTCTGCAACTACATCAGTTGGTTCTTGTTCCTCTTCTCTTTCTTCGTGTTCAGATTCTTGATCATCTTCAATATCAACAAATCCAGATAAATTATCCTTTTCACAAATATCTTCAAAATTAGCTTGCTCCTTTTTTGATATAAATGATTTAATTTCCCCTAAATCTCCAAGTGAAAACTTACCAATTGTTGATTTTAATGTATTGAAAGTTTCCCGTTGCCAAAGTTCTTTCCGTTGTTGAGTTGATAATTGTTCAAAAGCATGGAAATTAAATGTTAATGAACTTATCAAGTTTAATTTATCTCTAGCTTTTAATTCATTAACTACAAAATCAAAACTACTATGATCAGGATATGATTCTGGCCAATTGGATATCGGTAAATACATGGCTGTTATATGGACAAAATTAACCGTTAGATCACCTCTCTCTGATTCATGATGTAATGGATGTTTACCAAATTGATCCAAGAACCATTCATTTGTAAGTATCTTAGCTTTTATTCTTCTATCTCGTAATTTCCTTCGAAGTTTACTCTTCTCTTTCAGTCCTCGAACAAAATCAACTGAGATTTGTGATCTTGCCAATGTCTTTTTAGATACTTTTCTCTTTTTTGGATGTTTTAAGAATTCTTCTTCAATCGGTTTAGATGTAGATGGGTTAACTCCCGTCCCGCTAGTTTCAATGTCATAATTTCTACGTTTAGTAAGACTTCTCAATGCATTGATCTCTTCTAAAGGATGTAACCGATCACCCTTTCTAGAATCTAAATGACGTCCTAATATTCCTTTACTTGTGAATTCTTTTCTACAATATGGACATATTTTTCCATTATCAGCAACAATAGTGTCCTTTGTCATTGATACGAGTGGTTGGAAAGTAGTTTCCGATGAGATGTTATACGGTGGTCGTTGTAGATTAGACTGTAGGTTCGGAGATGTAGTTGATGATGTTGACCCATACAAGTCTATTTCTTCTTGCTGTTGCTGTTGCTGTTGCTGCTGTAACTGTTGCTGCTGACGTGAGTCTCTACCAGGAGCAGATTGACTCTGCTCTGGTATGTTTGCAAATTGAGCAAACTGTTCATTCATGACATTGTTTAAAGAAAAGAAGAATAGGATTTCTTTATTAAAGTTTTTTTTTTAAAATTATCTTTTTTTATTTTAATTCAACTAGATGCTTAATTATTTTTTATGCGTTTCTTGTTTTATTGTCTTTGCTTTTCTCATTGTTCTTGTTTTTTAAGTTTGCTATTTAAACTTCTACCCCCCAATTCCCCCCCAAAAAGTTTCCCCCAATTAAATTATTAATTATTCCTTAATTATATAATTATCAATATATTTATATTTCTACATACAAAATTTCTAAATATTTAGAGATTCTACAATTTGTTTTAGATCACTTACATACTTATTCTGAATAGTATCACCTCTCCCGGCAGCAACAGTAAGTATCAATTCATTTAAGGCAGCACTACCTAAAATATCAACATGTTCAGCCGTTCTAGCACCACCTCTAATATCAAAAGTATTTGGTTCATGCTTAATCTCTACAATTGTAACTCTAGAATTTCCAGGATTAAATCTTGATTTTGATCGCTTTTGCCATTCATGACACATGGCATGGGTTAATAACGAAACTGTCCCATCACCATCTCCGAAATACACGGGATTTTCCGCGTCTGGGTCAATCACATACGGTAATCTTAATGAGCTATCGGCGGTGGTATATGTATATGCTCTTTCAGTTGGTTTTCCAACCCCGTAGAAACAATATACTTTGAGATCAGGGGCATTAGGTAATGCAGCTTCAAGAGGGTTTGACCACTTCAGTTGAATTTGATTATTTTCTTGAATTTCCTGTTTGGTACTTGCTACTCCAAATGAATAATTTTCTCGAACTCTTTTGGAATACCATTCAGGTGAATTATCTAACAATTTATCTATACTTTCAGCCATGGTTACATTATATGTAGCCCCATCACTTTCTTTGAATTGAATAAAGGTTCCAAATGTTTCTCGATTGGATGTACTATTAGTTTCAAATTCAGGAAGAGTTCCATTCTCATGTAATGCATTGGTAGGATCATCTGGAGCATATGTTAAATTGCCCCAAAGTAAATCGCCTCCCTTTGGAATCATACTAGCAATTCCACCAAATGATCTTAATAAATCAACTCGTTCTCTTCTACTGAAAAATTGTTCTAATCCATACACTGCTAAAGCATTCAATTGAACAGTATCTTTCATCTCACCAGACATTAAAGCAGATATAGTCTTTGGAGCACCCAAAGATGACCCACTAATATCCACAAATGCCTCAATATGATCATTGACCCAATTAGGTCCTCCGTTTCCGTATAATTCCCCATTAGCTTCAACCCATTTCATAAAATAAAATATCACTTGAGATCCCATAGAATGTCCCACAAGAATCGATTTCTTCCCGGAAAACGTTTTGGTTAATTCAATTTGAATTTTCAATTTTGAAAAATATCGATCCCGTCTTTCTAAATCAAGATAAGTTAATCTCCAATCATAAGCAGCAGTATGCATATCATCGGGACTATAACCAATCACGGCAAGATTTTGTAAAATCTTATTCCAAATCCAATATCCTGCCATAAAGAAATCAGAAGACTCAAACCCCTGGGCTGCTCTCAATTTAACATCGGGAGGATCGAGTCCAGTTTCTTCATCTAACATTATATGTTTCAACCAGCAGGTTTTATCAAGAATCATGGTTCTTAACATATAAAAAGATCCCCAAAGACGTTTCCTAAAATGATTTATAGAAGGACATGGTCCTGAATTTGTAGTAGACCAGGATTCAAGTCCAGTAGATATCACCCCTGGGACTAATACAACATTGAATTCATGAGTATAATTCTTTGTCAGTAATAACCTTTTCCCAACACTAAAAGATTCAGCTGATCCATGTAATCCATCATCAGGATTCTCAGCTTCTTGTAAAAATGATTGTAATCCAGTAGGTAATAAGTCTTTCCAATCTCGCCAATCTTCAAATAAATAACTTACTTTATCAAAATTAACCAATTTTTCTAATTCTCCAGGAAATGCAGGTCCATGGGATGATGTTATGAAAATAGCTGCCAATAATCCAATCAAAGCACCTAATATAAACATAACCCTTCTACTTTCATGTATCCTCTTTTTCCTCTTTACTTCAGCAAGCTCGGTTCTTATTTCTTCTGAAAAACGACGTGATGGACGATGATGATGTGGTTCCACATACAACAGATGTCTTCTTTTCATCTCAAGTGATGTTCCATATGTGACGCTATCAGATTCAGATTCTTCCGATGGGAGCAGATAGGATCTTCTTCTCGTTGGTCTGCCGTTAATGGATATTCCTGAGGATTGTGCTATGCCTTGAGAGTTATTATTTGGTCTTGCCGCCGCCGAGGCTTGGTCATCACTATCATCACCCGATGGGGTTCTTTTCCTGTTTATTAGACTTGACATTTTTCTGCTCTGTGGGGAATTGCTTGGTGTAGTAGTGGTGTCGACTATTCTGTATGAACTTGACTAGTGTAGTAGCTATAGTATTAGGTTGATATCTATTCAATTGACAAATTAAAGATGAAATAAAAGCCAGCAACAACAATGAAAAATAAATTATAGAACGAGATTATTATTTTTTCACTTTAAATTTAAATAAAATAGAACAATTGAAATTTGTCTGGACTCCTATTTTTTTATTTTTAACTGTCTTTAGATAAAAGCAAGCAACTTTTCAATTGACCTTTTTGCAATTGAGGATTATCTGAATACTTATGGGAATTATATGAGTCTTATATGTACTCTGATTTTATTGATATGAACAAATAATGGCTGTGAGCGCGAGAGGATATGCTGGCAAATTTCAGAGCAAGAAGTTTCGCGTTTTGTTCTACCGAAGCATGTGAAGTTTTTAACCTGTCAATGCTGGTAATTCTGTCAAAAAGGAAACCTTATTAGTCAAATACTAAAAATCTATTGAATTTTACTATTTATTCAAGAACGTCAAGAAACTTACTTAGCAAGCTTACAATTTTCTTTGTACAAACTTTTATAAAGCATCCATGGTATAATCGTACTCAATACCGGGGGTTACGCTAGCAATAAACTTCAAAAAGATAATTAAATATTGGTCTACTCTAATACCTTCTGGTTGTTCTTCTTCTTCTGTTACTTGCCTGTCTTCTACAGAAAGATTTGCAGTCCTTTCTTCCAATTCCTGGGCACTATCACCCTCTTCCTTTTGTTTCTTCAATTTTGAATGTTTCATCAATACCTTCATAACAGAAGCATGTCTGCATGGATGGATCGAAATTGAAGTGGTATTATAAGCAACTGGTAAATTTTCAATAGTAACTGTCTTATCTTTATAATCCGAATTAATATCTTCAAACATTTGTTTAGGTAAAAGCGGTATACCATTAGAATCAAACCCAACTAAATACATCTTAGGAACACGATATGAGGTTGAATATGTAATGTATAAATCATATTTCCTAAGACTATTATTTGAATCTCCACGAATATCTTCGAAATCATCTTCAACCTCTTCTCCGTCCTCATCATCCTCAGCAGTTTCATCTATGAATTCATCGATATCATTAGAAATGTATACCGGCTCTTCTTCCTCATTATCCTTCTTCTTCCCCTCTTCTTCTTCTATCTCCTCTGCTTGATCTGCCTTATCAGTTGCATGACTGGTCGCCACTTTTTTCGACTTAACCCACCCATCTTCTCCATCCTCACCTTCAATCTCTTCCTCTTCCTCTTCTTCAATCCCATCACCGCCTTCTAAGTAATTAGAAGCCCTTTGATAACTAGGCACATGTCTAGTGATCAAAAATTGTTTATCAGAAGGCAAGAAACTTTTTTGTAAATTCTTGGGACAACTTGACCATTGCCATGTGGGAAATTTATAAACTAAATAATCACCAGCTTTCACGAATTCTTCAGGACTGATTTCTCCTGTGGTTGAGAAATTAGAACTATGATTAATTGGGGTTAAATATTCTCTTAGAGATGATAATTTGGATCTGAACATGGTTTTTGTGTAATGGTTGTATAAATTAGCAATGAAGACTTATTGGAGGGAAGGTATTTGACTCAAAAAACTTTATCTGTTTACTTGAGGTTTTGTAATGAAATGAATTGGAATAGTAGTGTGATGTGCAGATGTTGATTTGATAGTAAGATTTTTGATGACCAATTGTGTAGTCAAGTAATCTCCAATTGTCTTATCAGCAATGAGGATCGTTTCTGGGGGCCACACTGACTTGCTCGCACAAAAATGGCAAGTTCGTGTGTGGTCGTGTCGCTACCGGTAAAAAAAAATGCACGTGTATGTCAGGTGACTGATTTTTTTGGAAATTGGATGGTGTTGGTTTGAATTCTTTTAAAAGTATGATAAGCCCCCCAAATTCAAAGAAAATCAACATGAATGTATTCAATCTGTTAGTTAGAGGAGGACTGTACTCTATTAGGGTTAATTATTCTTTAAATAGCTATTTTTTTTGGTTTTCTATTTTTTTGTTCAAATTTCCCAGAAAATTCCTCGATTGGGGTATTGCAGAGATAAAATGAAACACCGAAAGAGCTCTATTCCACCATCTCCTATAACCAATTGTAAGAATAAACTCATATATGTCACAGGAAGCTTTTTATAACTTAATGAGGATATAGAACTAGGATAGTGCTAGCTTGATACCAGATAGGGCGTGCATTGAAAGGTGTGCGAAATAAAGAGGATTGCTCAATTCCGCGAGAAATTTCTTCTCAGGAATGCCACGCTTGATAACAAGGAACGACAATAAATTATGCCTCCAATTGATGTATCTATTCCATATACAATTACTAGTGCTTTGCTAAATTTAGTTAATTCCCAAAAAGTTTACTTTATGTAGAAGTAATTTTTTTGCAGCATTTTGATTTTTAAATTAAGGTAAACAAACAAACCAAACAGGACAATAGACTACTATTCTAAAACAATAGAGTTCATATTTTTTACAAGGCTTAATTGTAAACAACGGTATTTATAGAACAAACAGATGTTACTTTTGAAACCTGAAAAGAGGGCGACGTTCCAGAAAAAAGTGGTAGATCATATCCGCCAGTAACAGAGTAAATCTTGCTAAATCAAAAAGCGTTGTTCTTCGTCTAATGTTAAGATCATTCTTAGAAGAAAAAGGGAGGGGATCAGAGGAAGTCAACGGTGCATATGAACGCGTTATGGTTTTGAAGATATCCAAATAAAGCACCCTTTGTTTGAAGAAGTTTATTTCTTTTTCAATAATCAGGTTTAGCTTTTAACTAACGAATCTTTTTGAGTACGTGTCTTTACTGAGTGGCTCTTGTGCAATTGTGATTGCAATTGCATGGAGGAATTGAGGTACAAAGTGATGAAGATACACGCGCATCCTTTCCCAAATAGATTTGAATCAAAAGAACGAGACACCAAAAATAACTATGACTAAAAAATATTTTTTTTGTTTCGTTCCTCGTAATTATCGTTTCTTTTTGTTTGTTGTGAAGTTTTGCTGCAATTTCCTGCAATTTCAATTCGTGTAATATGCATCAATAATTCAGGGACAAAAAAAAGGTTAATAGCGAAACCAAAAGCTTACAAACAAGCACAAAACCCGTTCCCTTCGCGAAATTATCTTTTTGATTAAGTAACCGCTGTAATTATCACAAAAGCAAGTCGTCGCGACTTAGACTAAACTCCAAGCTCAACAAGATTCAATTATTGGATTGAAGAAGCGCCTGTCTATTTAAACAATAGTCCATTAATTTGGATCTCTACATTTTGTAATTACGCGACTTCATTCAATTCTCGGAGAGTGAGGTCATTTCGTGGGTTTTCACGATATCCTCTACTAATGGAGCTTACAAGTTTCTCAATTGAAGAGGATATTCCCAGACCGGTTTCAGAACAACAATATTTCAACCCCATGTGTGTTTCACAGTCTTCAAAGAACAAGGTCCATTCTCACTTGGGACTTACCCCAATGGATGTGTCAGTGTGTAGATACTCCATTAGGCTCACTCGGTCTTTAGTATTGTGTTTTGAAGTTTACCTAAAATAGGTTTCCCAACAATAAGGAAAATCCTCTCTAAAAAAATATTGCAAAATACAAAAAAAATAATTTCTGGTTTGTTTTGATTTTTCCTTAAATAAACGCAAATTTTAATTTTCACTTTCATTCTTGTCTCTTTGCGTTTTACTCTTTTACAATAAATAATAAACCCTTTACTTTCATTCCATTCAGTTTTTCTAAACTATCAACTGTCACTTCCAAAAAGGCATTCACTCAAGCTTTGAGATTTTAATATTGAGTTCTACATTCAAGTACAACTTACCACCTCCCCCCTACCACCCATTTCATCCGCGCTTCTAGAAAAAGCAAAACATTGTCAACTGTGACACGCTAAGCAAATTGAGAAAATATAAACGCGAACTTCGTGTCCTAACATTTGTTTTAACAACCCAATTGATCTGAATTAGCAAGTCTCAAACAACGTAGAATGTCCTTAACAACGAATAGAATCGCATTGGCACCAATTAAAGAAAGTCACTTGAATTCAACTCCTTCATCTAATGCCAGTACACCAAAGAAGAGACCAAGTTTAGTTTCCATGAATAAGCAATTTGCTGGTAATTTCTCCAAAAAGAAAGCTGATTTAATTACTAGATCCTTCACAATATCTGAATCCGCTACTTCTTTAAGCAAGACCTTTTCTCCATTTCAATCGCTTAGTTTCTCCGATTCAAGATCAACTTCAAACAATTCTTCATCTTCGGTTAGAATCAAAGTTATTAAACCTAATAATCAAAACAAAAACGATGCAGCTGGTTTAGCAGCCACCAAATTAAAATTAAAGCTACAACTAGCTCTCTACAAAATCCAACAAAAACAATCAACCATAACGCGTCCAATAACCAAAAACACCAAAATGGTAGCTGACGAAACCACAACAATAAAATTCAATTCAGCAACCTCTCTTAAATTCCTTAGTCCTCCAAATTCCGCAAAGAGTTCTAGCTTCACTTCGCCAACCCGTCAAACTCCAGTAATAAATCCAATAGGAGAATTTGCATCCTTACCAACGCCACCAGAACCAAGAAACTACTCATCCTCAGTTAATATCAACTTAGAAACAAAAACCAAATTATTGGCGGCCGTTAACAACGAACATGAACAGCGGCCATCATTATCTAAAATTGCGCATAGTAAGCAATTAAGTGTCAAGAGAAGAATTCAAAAATTGAAATTATATCAAATAAGAAAAGATTCAATATTTTATTCTGATAACAACCATGGTAAATTACCTTTAGTTCCAGGTGAAACCAATACCAACCCAATACGCACATCATCATCAAACTCATTAAACATAGCTACTGCTGGCCCTACTTTTTCTACTTGTTCTAATGGCAATTTGGCAAGTATGATAAACACAACTAATTCATTAATTTTTCCATTTGCAACAAATTCAACATATCATTGCGCTACCAACAATAATCATCCAGACTCTACTTCTCCCAAGGCTAAAGAAGCATCTTCATTACCTTCAATTCTTCTTAATCCACCAGGAACTAATCAGTCCTTCTCAGCTAGTCATGCAACTTATTTACCATCGATCAATAAGATTTTGAGAACTCCAATTAAAAAAGCAAATTCAACACGTTATTATCAACAAAATATTGCCAACAATAATAATCACAGTGGGAGATTGACTCGTTTGCATACCACTAGCGATGATACTACTATTGATGAAGATGTCGATATGACGATCATCAATAACACAACCACCGTGGAACATGATACCACTATTGCTGAAAGGAATGATGGCGATGAAGACGAAGAGGACGATGATGAAGATGAAGATGATATGGATGCTAGAAAGAAAAGTGTGCTCAGTTCATCTCCATTACCTAATCATTTCGGAACCCCTAATAGTTTCAGTATTGCAAAATCATTATTGCAATTAGGAGGTCATCAAATGTGAACTGGAAATGGAGAGAGTTTGAAAAAGTTAATAGATGACAATGTTTCCGTTTTACAAAAGAAATGTATTTATAGATGATCATATTTATGTTGTGACGCTTTTTGGTTTGATTTTTAGTTTTTAGAGAGAAAAGAATTTTCTTCAGTAGTATTGCATTATTGATCTTTTAGTTTGAGTTGTCTTGCTTCAAGTAAGTGGCTTCATTACCTTTTTAATAAGTTTCCCCTTTATTTCATTTTTTGTTTGATAGTTTAATATTTTAGAAAAAGTTTTAATATGAATTAATACATTTATTTAAAAATAACAAGCTCTAATCTATATCTCTAATAATTCTAATGAATAGCTCTTAGAATTTACCTCTTAATAAGTTCTTGACCATATCTCTAGCAGTATAATATGAAGTTAAGTAAAAAGTATAGAAATCCATAGTAGAACTTAACGTATCCAATAAACCAAAAGGTAACATTGCAGGAATCCAACCTTGAGCCAATTCCAAAGCAAAAGCACCACTTGGCATACTATATTGCTTAACATGGCCCTTTCTTAAATGATGTTGATCCCCAGGATAATAAATTTCCGGAGCTAATGCACCAGCATAGGCAGCTCTCTGTTCACCAGTTAAAATAGTGAAATAATCATCAGCAAAATGAACACCAGTATGACCTTCAGTTCCAACTGCAGTCCCAAAGAAAATCAAGTATTCTGAAATAGAAGCATGTAAGATAAACATAGTTCCCATGGCTCCACCAGCATTATTATAGAACCATTCTTCGAAATTTAAATCATTAACGATATTTGGATAAGTTTCTTTGATTTTTGGAGCTAAGTCCATCATGATGGCAGTTGCATTACCTTCTGGATGGTTGGCTAATACATCTTGAACTAAACCTTGTAAAACCTTTTCATCAAATATATAATTTGATGGTAACCAAGTATAGAAAAGATAATTGAAAATACTGTAGAGGGCAAGTGGGATTATTCCAAAGGCTAATAACTTCATCTTTCTGGCTATGATAACTTAAACTAGCTGAGAATGAATTCAAAAGGTAAGGATCGTAAATTCAATATAAATAGACATCAAAGTCTAATAAACAACATGAAAACGAAAACTAAGATCGATGCAACCCAAGGGAACGATTCTAACGCCGATACGATCGTATATTGTGCAGAAAAAAAAAATCTACGAGCAATGGGGTCGTGTATTTACAAAATTGTAAACAGTTTTTCATTAGACCGAAGTCCGGGCCTGACATGGAGAGCTGTTCAGACAATCTTATATGTAACGGTTATCTATATAGTCTGCCCATCCAATATCGTTTAGCTCAAGTCGGACGTATCAAATTATGCTTGCTGTGTATTGGTTCCTCAAACGACCGGTGCTTACCTTTATGATCTACCCTTTTCCTTCGGGAACGTCCATGGCTGTGCAATAGAAAATGGAACTGCATATAATTTGAATTTCCATAGAGAATCAAATCTTCTATTTGGTAGTTTCATTAGGGATAATCTTTCGGATCAATCTCTTTGCACCGGATTGTATTAATAAATCTACCCGTTCCGTTACATCATGTTTACAGTAGTGGTTACCACAGGAGCAACTGTCACCTTTACGTCATTAATTGAGAAAATTGTTGATGCTAAATTTATTCAGGAATTAAAGAATATCAAAGTGACAAAGTTAATAATACAATTCGGAAATGAAGTAGTGGATTCCATACATATAAGTGAACTCTTCTTTAGTAAACAAATTAGAGAGAAGAATATATTAGAAACATTGCAACTATCAGATACAGAAAATGGAAGGGTCAAATCAGAGGTAAAACATTATAGTTCGAGTACATTTGAAATCATTGCATTTCCTTATTCTCGAAATATAGATGAATACATCCAACAAGCAGATGTCGTAATCACTCATGCAGGTACAGGGTCTATTATAGATACATTAAGAAACCACAAGAAGTTGATGGTAGTTGTTAATGATAAATTAATGGATAACCATCAATTAGAAATTGCCAATGAATTTTCAAAACTCGAGCATTGTTTGAGTTATCAAGTTAATGAAGTAAATGATAGCGGGTTTATCAATGACTTGAAACAATTGCTTAATAATGAGATCAAATTAGAACCCCTCGCTGACAATGATGGGAATGTTATGGAAGCAATCATTTATGATGAATTAATGAAGTAGAAAATAAAATTGTTAAACACTGAATGGAAATCTAAGTAAAACAGCTCTCTAGGAACCTCCTGATGAAGTCTATCAGTCAGATATAATGTCTAACCCAGAGTAATTGAATTCACTAGCCACTTTATAGAAATATAGAAATTAGTCAATATACACGACCACTCCCTACTAAATGGTGTGGAGGGTTTGACTTTTTTACAACACTTTTAGCCTTTCTTCTTATCTTGATTGATACATACTTAGATTCGCTGATGACAATAAAAGAAAGTATAGTAGAAGCAGTCAACGACACTTCAATCGATGACAAAACTAGAGTGAGCCAATTGCAATCATTGCTAGTACAATTGGATGAGAATTCACTTACTGAACTTGAAACCAGCGATTATCCAATTGAAGACGTTCATAAGAAAATAATATCATTAATACAATGTGAGAATATCATGGTAAGGAATCCACATTCTCCTAGAATAAAGGAACTTATCCGAGAGATTGTATCCTTGCCAATCTCGGTCAGTATCGATGAAAATGATTTCAATAATATGTTTATCAAAGTGAAATATAATGACTTAAACACCGATTTACAATACTTGTTAAATGATATCCAATATAATAAATTCACCGAATTAATCAACAAGAAGATCATTAATGCGAAATCTGTACCAACTTCAAACCCCAATCACAAAGAATTGACGTATTTATTAAATTTGAAAATCTTACAGCTTTATTTGATTTCAAATTATGACTTTAGAAAAGTCAATATTATCAATTACTTGAACGAGAACTTAAATCTAGAAGCATTGGATCCTGAAACTACAGGGCTTTTTAGAAGTGCATCCACAACTCCTTTTATAATGTATGAAACATTCAATAGAATCTTGCAACATGACTTTCAAAACAATTATTTCTCAATTGTTCAAACTATGGATAAAAGAAGGTTAAGTATTAATCTTCTCGAGAATAATATTGTCAAATTGGGCAAATATTTTAAATCAATAAATATTCAACGGATTTATCAAATGTTTAACCTTTCTCCTCAAGAGATTGATCTTGAAGCTTTACTATTTGAGATGATTTTGCATAAGAAGTTAAGTAGTAACACCAAAATTGATCAATTGAAGAATTTAGTAGAGTTTGGAGAGGACGCATCTAAAGAAAGTGCTAACAAGGAAACAAAATTGAATCAACATGTTAAAGAAATCGGAAATATAATTAATGATGTATACTTAAGAATATAAACCTAGAGAACCAATGAAAGATCTAATCATATGTAGCGTACTCCTTGGAGTATCTTCTGATAGTTTTTTGTTTCCCGACTTGTGTAATTTCATCAATGTCTTCCTGGGATAACTCAAATTCAAAAATAGCTAAGAAATCCTTAATTCGATCTTCCTTACCTGAAGTAGTAACTGGCAAGACTCCTTGTTCTACTACCCATCTTAACAAAATTTGACTCTCTGACTTTTGATACTTTTGAGCCAAGTTTTTCAAGACAGGGTCCAAAGGACCAGCTTCATCCTGAATGACTGGACTTAATGGACCATAAGCCTCAATCAAAATGCCTTGTTCTTGAGAATATTGAACAATTCCAGGGGTTTGATTTTGTAAATATGCACTAAATTCAATTTGATTAACACTTGGTCTATATTTTGGATCAGATTCCAAGATTTCCTTTAAATGTTCAATCTTGAAATTAGAAACACCAATATTTTTAGCTAATCCTTCATCTTTTAATTGTTCTAAATAATTCCAAGCTTCAACCAAATTATAACCATGGGTTTCTTTCTTAATATATGGAAAATGAATTAAATATAAATCAACATAATCCAATTGCAAATCTTGTAAATCTTTCTTTAAAGCATCATAAGGATTACCAAGTTTGGATCTGGTAGTATAAGTGGCATTTCCTGAGTTGAACTTACTAGCAATAAACAATTCTTCTCTTGGAACTTTGGAATTCTTGATAGCTAAACCAATTTCAGTATTAGTACCATAAACTTCAGCACCATCAATATGACGAAATCCAAGTTTGATAGCTGTTTCTAAAGCTTCGACAACTTTGGAGTCGATATCAGTTGTACCTCTCTTGAACCATTTTGTACCAACACCATACGAAATAGCTGGAATTTCGTTACCGTTGTTTAATTTGAATGCGTTTTTAACTAAGGACATTGTGATATAAGCTTATATTGGGGATTAATGACTTGAAGAATTTAAAGAAAATGGAAAATGAAAATCTCAGGGGTATACTATGAATTATTTATACAGGGACCAAGGGGATTTTGCCTTTCACGTCTGTGGCTTTGTGTTGCTTCATTGTTGACAGTCCCACACTTTTGACAACTTGCGAACAATGGTTGCTAAATTGCTGCGAACCACGAAAAATTCACATTTTTTCTTGCAGCCATAGTTAACCAACCACAGACCCACAGAGCCACCTCAGAATAATGTGGCTGTGCCTCTAACACACGATAGAATTTACAGTGAGGGCTTAATGATGACAGAATGAAAGCAAGCAACAAATTTTCATTAAACTAACTAGAGAGGAACATAAAGTAAACTAGAAGAGAGTAACATCAGACAAGCCTAACTCTTAACCTTACTAACAACATTATGTAACATTCCCTTAAGACCTCTGTCACTTCCTTTACCAGAGATTGCATCCAAATCTTCCATTGTCAATTGGAAATCAAAAATTTCAAGGAAGGATTTGATATCTGCTGCATCATTGGAGGTAACAACTGGTAAGACACCCTGTTGGATAGTCCATCTCAATAAAATTTGGGCTTCAGTCTTACCATACTTCTTAGATAATTTTGTTAAAAGGGAATTCAAGTTGTGTTTAGTGGTGGTTTCCAGTAATGGAGACAAAACCCCATATCCTTCAATCAAGATACCTTGTTGTTTACAGTATTCAAAAATTCCTGGAGGTTGATCTTGAACAGAAGCACTATATTCAATTTGATTAACAGCAGGTCTATGAGTTGGATTGTTTTCTGAAATTTGCCTCAAATCATCAACTGAGAAGTTCGAGACACCAATATTCTTAGCCAACCCTTCATCCTTCAATCTTTCGAGACATTGCCATGCTTCAATTAAAGAATATCCATGAGTTTCTTTCTTGATATGTGGAGAATGAAGCAAGTACAAATCAACATAATCTAATTGCAAATCACGAAGATCTCCTTTCAAAGCAGAATAAGGATCCTTGTAATCAGATCTCTCACCTAAATCTGGACCACCTGAAAAGAATTTATCAGTGATAAACAATTGATCTCTGGAGAGTGATGACTTGTTTAAAAGAAGCCCAATTTCTTTGTTTGTATTATACACTTCTGCACCATCAAAATGGCGGAAACCGACATCAATAGCGAATTGTAAATTCTTGATAAGGTTATCGTTTAAACCTGGTTCTCCTCTCTTTTCCCATTTTGTACCCATACCATAAGCAATAGCAGGGATTTTAGAACCGTTTGGTAATTGAAAAAAATCTTGTGAAAGTGACATATTATACACTTGATTTATTTGTTATCGTATACTAAAATGAATTAGAAAAGTTTTATGTAGATGAGAACTTCTTGGTGCTTATATATGGATATGACTTTTAAGTTTGCTTGCTATTGTATACGATTGCTAATACCCACTTTGAGGTAGTGTTGCTAGAGACAAAAGGATCACCAGCAAAACAAGAATCAAAGTTTCTTTACCATTGCTTTACATATTAGGGAAAAAGCAACCATATTGCGCCGTTATTCGACTCATGAAGTAAACACAAGAAATGGCAACGTTTTTTGCAACCTTTAGCAACAATCTAAAAATAGAAGCAAACATGAGGAACGTCACTGCCTCTACACAGGATCATTAACGGACACCCATACCGGACCATACCGGGTCATTCGCCATTCCTTATAACTTTCAAAGTGTGTTACTGTCCTTAACAGTGAAGTCATTGGTTTACGGAAATTTCTGTAGAATCAGAAAGGGGGACGCGCTTCCAAGTGCACCTAAATGAACAATGAGGGTGGTGGGGTGCACGTTTTTCCCCAGAGCATTTTATTTGCAACAATTTCAACAGAAGAGTCAATCCAAGTGAACTACATACAACAGAAAAGCTGATCAATGGATGAAACAACCCCCCTTTTACAGGTTCCTTCTCAGCTGTCTAGTTATATTTCCGAAAATGAAATTGTTTCGTATGTTCAACAAAGAAGATTATCGATAGCCTCATCAGGTACGGGTAGAATACACAGAGTATTCTCTATCCCAAGTTATGAACCAATCCTAGAGCCAGCTAGATCAGATGATTCATCAATTCTGCATTCAATATATGATATAGTTTCAGCCCATTCTGAAATTGGACCTGAACCCATTACTACAGTCAGAAATGAAGTTGTGGCATTAATACGATCTTCAGCACCTTTGGTAATCACTTTCTTGTTGCAATATTCACTTACAGTAGCATCAGTTTTCTCAGTAGGGAGGATTGGGTCAACAGAGCTAGCTGCAGTTAGTTTGAGCTCCATGACTGCAAATATCAGTGGATATGCGATTATCCAAGGGAATTCAACATGTTTAGATACACTTTGTGCACAAGCTTATGGTCGAAAAGATTTCAACTTAGTAGGTGTTCATTTTATGAGATGTAATTGGCTATTGTTGCTTCTTTGTTTGCCAATTATGGTGTTTTGGGTATGGGGTGTTGAGCCATTATTATTTCGAATTGTAGGAGATGAATCAAGAGAAGTGTGTATATTGGCAGCTAAATACTTGCGAATTTTGAGTATGGGATTACCAGGATTTATATTATTTGAAAATGGTAAGCATTTCCTACAAAGCCAAGGTATTTTTGAATCTTCTACATATGTACTATTTATTTGTGCACCTTTGAATGCATTCCTAAACTATCTTCTTGTTTGGGATCCAAAAATTGGATTAGGGTTTATTGGTGCTCCAATATCAGTGGTTATAACCAATTGGATGATGTTCATATTATTATATGCTTATATATTCCTCATAAATGGAAAAGAATGTTGGCCCAGCCAATCCCCAATCCACCGGATTCATTGGACAAGATGGGAAAAAATGATTGAACTAGCAATACCAGGAGTGTTAATGGTCGAAGCAGAATGGCTAGCCTTTGAAATCATTACCTTCTCGGCAGCCAAACTTGGAACTAAAGTCTTAGCCGCACAATCAATTATCAGCACGACTTGTGTGCTATTATATCAGATACCGTTTGCACTTTCAATAGCTGCATCCACAAGAGTTGCTTGGTTTGTTGGAGCAGCATCAGAAAAGACAGCCAGAACAGCAACCACGGCCGCATTATATACAGCACTAACATTTGGAGTTATGAATTGTTCAATATTATTCTTCTTCCGTTGGAAATTAGCTTCGTTATACACCAATGAAAAAGACGTGATTACATTAGCAGCTAAGGTATTGATTGTCGGATCCATTTATCAAATAAATGATTTCATTTCTTGTGCAACAGCTGGAGTTTTACGGGGTCAAGGCAGACAAATAATAGGTGGTATTACGAATGTAGTGGGATATTATTTACTTGCATTGCCCTGCGCATTTGTGTTCGCTTTCAAATTGAAATTAGGATTGTTGGGATTATGGTTTGGTATGATTATTGCCCTTATGTTTGTTTCATTAGTTCAGTTATATTTTGTACTTATTAGTGACTGGGAACAAATTATTCGTGATAGCATAAGTGAAGGGATTGCCGAAGATGGGAATTTGCATATAGAAGCGCTTCCAGTTCTTCCAAGTATGAGCAATTCAGTCATCAATTAGTAGAAGTGAACAAACTTTGATTGATATAAATCGAATAGTCACTCATATATAAGGCAATAAAGCAAACTGGCAATACGCACTGTTGCTAATGTTCTATAAATCTCCTCGTTTGGCTCAACAAAATCATAACATGAAGCAAGCTGATAGAAATAAGCCAATTTTAAAGATTTCAAATCAACATCGACTAACCCGATGGGTTAATGTATTAAGCTAAAAGGAGTCCCATAAATAAATAGCTTACTCAAACCTCATTTATATCATTTTTCTGGACATGACATAATTATATCTACTATGACCGAGCTTTCTGCGCAGCTTCTTTAAATTTCTTTAATTCGTTCAATTCATTTTCAATAGCTTCTTTCTCTTTCCTCAACTGATCATTTTCATTTTGCAATCGGGCTTGTTCTTCTTCAATCCTAGATAAATCCGAAAGAATCTTACCACAATCGGTTTTTATGCTTTCATCTTTACATTTTGAATCTATGAGCTTGGCTGTTTCTCGAATCGAAACGATTGGTTTCCCAATACTAGTAGGGATCTTCTTCTTGGCATATGGGTGTGACTTTCGATACTCATTATACCTTTGCTGTACTCGAATCAACATAGGATACAACATCAGTAATAGCTCCTCTTGTTTCTGATTCTCACTTTCCAAGGCGTCAAATCTTTCCATTATGTCATGTGGGATTATTAAGTTGTCATTTTCTTCCAATTCTTCCTCATAGAGTCCGACAAATTCACTTAGTCTTTCTAAAAACCCATTCAGAGATTTTAACTCTTGTCTTAATTCTTTGAGTTCCAAAAGTGGATCTCGCTTTGATGAATTACGGGACGTGCTGTTTTGTTTGAATTCTTCATCAACCTCAATTTGTAGCTTTCCTAATTTTCTCTCAATCGTTGGTTCATGAAGGGGATCTTCCTGAGTTTCTTCCATATACGGTTCTGAATCTGTCCGAACAGTGTTTGGCGCTGAATTCCTATGAGTGGAAGTTTGTGGTTGCTTATTGAATCTCACAGACTCATCTTTTACATAACCATTAGAAATAAATTGACTATTATCCTTGCCATATTTCCTGGAAAGATACGAGGACGTGTATCTGCCATTTTCATTCTGTGAACGATTATTTTTAGGAGTTGATGGGAATTTTCCAGGATAATTCTCAGGTAAAGAAAATTTAGAAACGTTTCTCGTTTCCTGAATCTCTTGGGTAAGATCTTTAATCATACTGAAATCATTCATCAAATCCTCATCTTCATCTGAAAACTCGAATTCTTTTTGATACTTAGAATAATCCACTATCGATCTCAGTGGTGTTTGATATCTTGTTTGTGGCTGTCTTCGGGGAGTACTAATAGGTATTGTTTTATCATAATCAATCGTTGGCTCGTTGACTAAAGGTTTGCTATCGTCTTCTCCAAATCCAAATAGAGTTTTGATCATATTTGTTGACTTGGTCTATCAATGCAGGATGTTTACCTTTTCAGATCTGGCAGCATCTTGTTTTGATGTTTTCATTTTTTTTCTTCGTTTGATTGCGAAACGCGCTCTAAAGTTTAAAATTCCAGAGACTGAGAAAAATAGTGAAAGAAGACTGGCTGGATAAGAGAACCTCGTAATGTTCGACCTACTTTTGTTTTTAATAAAGCTTGAATATTTGAGGTTTAAACCAAAAATGGGTAAACGGGAATAATTGTCGGAAAACCCTAAAATCTTGATTATAATTGAATAGTCGGAAATTTGAAGCACAAAGTTAAAAAAGAGGGGGCCAAAAAAGGTCATAGTTAAGAGAAAAAGAATTGAATCAAAGATTTTTCCTATTTAGGGATTGTCTCTCAAACCAGAACTTACTAGAAACATTAAATGTGTATCCCATAATAATTAAGTATTGTTTGAAAAGAACTAAAAGTATAATTAAATTATTGTGCCATTGTTTTCCATATGACCGAGGAAGTTCCTGGGGTACAAAGACATGATACCTATTAGTTACATTGAGAAATGTACATGTACACTACGCCTTAGTCAAGTCAGCAATTAACTTAAGGAATGTTACTTTTCAATTACTTTCACCCTTGTTTTGTAATTGTAATTCCGCGCAATTACAAAACAGATTACAAAACCTATCTATCTAGATATGATGTTTTTGTTTTGTTTGTATTTACTGTAGCTCGTCAAAAATGATACATCAAGAGCCCTAGTAAAAAGAGAAAACGGAAAAATAATACGAGATAAACAACTTTATTTTTTCCGGCACCTTAAAAATAATTTTTGTATTTTTGGTTTCGCCTAAATAATAACGGTTTTCAATTGTAAGAGATCACAAAGATCAAACACTAACAATAAAGTTTTCCCATGGGCATCAAAATAACCATAAAAGGTACACATTTAATTTCTGACGACGATACTGACAGGTTATCATAACACATAATCAATAATGAGGCTCATTGTATATATGCTAAATTTATTTGGCCATACGTCTGACAAACACTTATGCATGTATGTATCTGTGTTTACCTTCTAAAATTAACACGTAGGTATGTTCTCATTTAATGGGTATCTCCTCAAAACCTTCTTTGCTTTATCGTACTTCGGAGCATAGTTTATTTTGAGATCCGTATACCCCACCAATAATATTTGCTGGAAATAACCTCACTGTGCATTTACAACCACCCTTGGGTATTTCGGCTAATAAATATAAACAAACAACAAGCGAGCAAATAAGTTCTAAAAAATCGGGATGTCTGTAGTGATCATACGATATGTATTTTAATCGAAAAGTAAAAAAGATGGACAATCGTGGCTTGTCAATTGTAAACAACAATAGCAATCGCAAACAAAGGAAAGCATCGCATTCTAACAATTGATTAAACCTAACAATTGTTAACAATTGTTTAAACGGCATCATTTCCTATTCTGATCCCCACTCAGAAAAATTTAAATCAAGCTTTGTAAAGGACTTAATTTCCAACATTGGTTATAAATTTTTCAGAGTTGCAACTACTGACGACGATGATTTTTTTGTACATATTTACTAAGTTTGTTTGAACAATAACCTCAATCGACAACAACAAGAAAAAAAACGACACAAACCAATAAGCTCCCACTACAAAGTTTAAAAAAAGGGGAGCAAGACACAAAGACGGTTTTGGTAGATTACATCAATAACAATTTTTAAAGTGACGCAAAACCTGGCGATGGCCCAAATCGTCTAACTTTCTGTCTGTAATTACATAAACACAGAAGGTCTAGTGTCACAAGAACCCATTCGAAACCTATCAACAATTGGGCGCAATGATGCAAATGATGTTACAGTATTCTTTGTTATACATGTGTTTGAAGTATATCTATCTTAGTTCGGGTCGGTCATCTTTGAAAGCTTCATGAAGAAAACAGACCCCGCGCGGAATAAACAAAGTAGGGCCAAGCATACCCATGCAGGCGCCAGAGGCAGAACCAGCATTAGTCGTATCCCTATGTACGAAAGAGTATGACGTTATCTATACGCTGAATTTTTCAAAGACTTTTTAAACAAGCGAGAACATAAACAGAGGTCTTTACAATTACGAGGAAGCTTATTCTATGAATCAAAACCACAAGCTTTCAAGTTATGACGGAATCAAAATTTAAAAAAAAAACTGTCGATGGTCTTCCGTTTTGCTTCACTCATCAGGAAATTATAATTGAACAATACAGAAAAGCATAAAAAAATTGATCCAATTAGGAATTGATATCTTTTTCAATGGACTGATGAAAAATTATAATATTTTTTGTTTTGGTTTACTGGTTATTTTTTTTTTGACGGGCACCCTTTTACCGTAAAAGAAAATTTCGGATCACAAATTTCGAACCCCTTAAAAAATAAATTAGACGAAAGTTAAAAAATAATAATGCCTTTTAATAAATTTTTTTCTAAAAAATTATTTTGGGGTTTGTGTGTAAGTCTTCAAGAAAAAACTTAAAATTTCGATGTCTCAAAAAAGTTATTCCAATAATGAGACAATTTGCAATCTTTCTAGAAATAAAAAAGTGAGTTTTGTACTAAGAAGAAATGTAATTGCTTCTCTAAGTTTATAACCTTCTTCTTTCACAAAGTGGATATCATAATGTAAATAACAACAAGACTTTTGAGTAACGGAGAAGGTTTTCCAGAATATTAGATCATGGAAAATCTTATAAGAAAAAATATCGAACCACTAGAAATGTCTACCTCTATCGTAACCGAGCAACATGGGTTAACTTGTTCTAATAAAGATCGAATCACATATGCTAAACATATAATTACTCTCAGTAACCAGCAAAAGGTACCTTAATAAGACCTATTGGTCCCGGGAATCCTGTTGATTTCTTTATCGTATCCAATTGTATCCAAGTTGATTCCTTAGCTTCTGAAATTAAGTCTACAGGAAAGCCAATCCCCGCAAAATCGAACGTTGCAAGAGAGAATGCTATGGAAGGTGAAAGCTTCTACATCCCTTTGGGACAATCTTTTCCAAGGTTTTACAGTATGTGATCAGGTCATGTCCTTTTTTACTGGGCTGATTTATAGTAGATCGTGGAATCTATAGTAATTAAAATAAGCACGGGGGCCAGGGGGGAGATTAGCTATCTATAAATATTAAACTTAAAGCAGTCCTCGTCTCTGTTAGGACCTTTCGTCGTCTCCTGGTTTTTTTTTGCTTGCAGTTAGCAAGACGAATAACTCAAAGGAAAAATTGCTTGAATTATTTTTTAGTAATAATTATTTTTTCTACAAATATAATATTTTTTAGCTTTATTTTTTAATCACAAATTTTAATAAAATTTATTTTTTAATATTTTATTTTTTATTTTTTTTAGTTTACGTTTTTAATTTTTTTAATTTTTTTTTCTAATCTTAAAATAATTATTTTTATTTTTCCAATATGGAAGAAATTAAATATTTATTTAATTATATAAGTTTTCTATATTTCTGAAAACTTCTTTTGTACTCCTGAGATTTCCCTTTTTGCTTCCAGTTGTTGTTTCATAATTCGTCATTAACTTCCCCTGCTTCCCATTTCCTTCCACTTCCCCTGTTCAGCTTTGCTTCAGCCGCTCATTTTTTGGTTCAACCACTTCCTTATACATTCGTTTTACTATAAAGAACTACTAGTCCTTTATTCATTTGCATTATATTATAATCATATTTCATATATTTCACTTCATTTCATTACTTCACTTCATTTCATTAGCTTTTTTTTCAATTTCGTTAATTTCTGCATTTTATCAATCATCATATATTTATTTCATCAATGTTTAATCTTGCCAAAATAATTTCAAGACCATTAGGACCAACCATGGTAGAAGCAGTACCACCACATCTTTCCAGTCCACAAGAAGAACGCAAGTCGTTTACACAAGTCAAATATCCCAAGGATTTATATACTTCCGAATTAGACATTCATACTCGAAACCTTGCTGAGTATGATATGGATATTTATGAAGTCATGTTAGATTTGATTGAATCAAATCAACCAAATCTTGAATTATATAAACAACAACCATATTTAACATTCCCAATTCGACAAAAATTAATTGATTTCTTATTGAAGATGTCAATAAGATTAAAGATTATTCCATTTGTGTTTGTTAAAGCGGTTAGGTTATTTGATAGATATTGTTCTAAAAGAATTGTCTTATTAGATCAATCTCAATTAATTATAACTACTTGTCTTTGGATTTCAAGTAAAATCCAAGGTGGAAATAATCATTTTGTTAATTTAAGTAATTTAAATAAAGTTAATTCAATTAGAACTATTAATGATTTAGGTTATGGATCAGGTGGGAAATATTTAGGTCCAACTGAAAGATTTAGATTACCTAAATTACATGAATTAATTAAATTATGTGGAACAAAATGTCTGTATGATGCTGGTATGTTTAAACAAATGGAACTCCATATCTTAAACACGTTGGAATGGTCATTGAATGATCCTTCAATTGAAGAATTTATTGTTAATAGTGATGAGTTTAGTATTATTGATAATTCAACTCATTTTAATGAAATCTTTAAAGTTAAAGAATTCCTTAGTTATGTTGCATTATATTCATCAGAATTAATTGATATTAATGTTATAGAATTAGGTCAAGTCATATTAGATTTGGTAAATGAAACATTACAAATTTCTCAACAAGATCCTGATTATCAAACTATTTTAAATAGTTCAACTCCAGTTCAAATGGATATTGAAAAATATCGTTTCATCAAGAAGAATTTAATTAAAGCAGTATTAAATTCTTCTGATTTTATACTACAATTATTTAATAGTAAAGGTCCACAATTTGTATTCCATCAATTAACTTCACAATTCAGAGTCAGAGTACAACCACCTCCACAAATTGTACCAACCATGGTTACATCTCCATTGTCAATTACAACCACTATTTCCAATACATCAACCGGCTTCACACCCGTCCCATCTCCAGTAACACCAACCACAATGTCAAGTACATCACCCACATTATTAAAGAAAATGTATCCCACTACCAACACAACAACCTGCCAAATGATGACTCCGCCACAATCGACCGGAGGTCCTATGGTCGCTGCTAATAATAATAATAACTACAATAACCACAATAACAATAATTACAATACTCACAATGCTGGTGGTGGTGGTAGTATCCCTCCACCACGTCAGATCCCTTATAGTTTCAATTCATCATCCTCCCCTACCGAGGCACCACCATTACTTCCTTGTAAACATGGTTATTCGCCATATGCACCCAAAACTGGTCGATTTCGAGAAAGAAATCACTCACAAGTAAGTTTAAGTACTACATCTAGTAAAGAACATGATGTATTTGAATATTGTCGACCACATGGTGATAATAATATTACGCCATTAAGTGAGAATCATTCACCTATTATGGTGAAGAAATATTGCAAGAAGTAGAGAGCTGTGGTCATATTTGAATGTGGTCATAGAGTGTAACATATATATGCTGGTTTTTTTTATTCTTTTTCTTGTTTTAACAAAATAGACCTTATAATCTTTTTTATTCATTTATCATTTATTAATCATACCCCCCCGTTTTTTTATAGTTCTTGATTCTGTGAATATATATACAATAATACGATATTGTTTTATTACGAAAACATAATTGTTGCAAAACTTTTTTTGCAACAGATCTTTTTTTCTAAGTTTCTATTGAAGTTTTAATAGACGTAACTTACTGTCCTTTCGATTTCAACTTAGAATGCTATCTTTTTGTGAGTTTAGATAGTTGCTGTCAACTGGTAGTAGTTATGAAGCACAAAACTACTAAATCTCGGAAATTATGATATTTGTGTCTCCATCTGGTACTTACACAAAAGTACGTACCCCTTTGGTTAAACAAACAACCGAATATTTAAATTCTTTTTACGTATAAATAAATCTATTAGGAAAACTAACATCGATCACATGAAGATAAGAATTATAAATCTTCATAACAACCAGGAGGTTATTTTTGTTAAAGATCTTGGCTGCAAAATTTTTTTAGGGGTGAATGGAAAGGGGGTTGAGAGGAGTGTGTATAATGATATTGACTTGGCAAGATGGCAGTGCCTTTAACGATCTCAGGAATGTTAAGTTTTTTTCTTGATCGACAAGAGAGTATAGCCTTCCTGTACAGTAACTGTTTCAAATGGTTATTTGTAGAGTCTAGGCAATTGTTTCTATACTTTTTTCATGTGAAATATATGCAGTCAGATATCAAGACAGGAATGGCCTTTTCATTTGGGGAGCCATTTTGGTTTTAGAGATCTTTTCCATCAATTATAGACGTCATTCAAATGAATCTGTCAAGTTCTGTCAAACCAGAAAAAAGAAGACACAATCCCTAAATTCTATGACCTTACATCCAAACATCAATACAAAATCTTTTTTTAGAAACAAAACACCAATTTCTTTTTTTTGCTTAAATTCATCTTCTGCTTCCCTTTCTACTAGTTTACAGAATTTCAAGTAAATTATCACTTTTTGACACTATTTACACTTACAAACAGCTCTTAGGAGATATCGAAGTAACCATCTGAATCATTCGCTGTATCGTCACACTACCTTGTACTAGAAAGAGAGAAGCTGTTCAATTTCTGACTTGTTAACAAAGTCCACCACATTTTTCAAAACAATAACCACAACACGTCAAATAATTTGGCATTTTAATACTTATATACAGACTACTAAACAAATGAGAACAAGTTTATATTACATATATACTATCTTCAGTATATTCTTGCTAGCAAAAGCTGATCCAAATATGGCAGAATTAGAAGGAACATGGTCCTCAAAATCTAATACCGTATTTACTGGTCCTGGGTTTTATGACCCAGTAGATGAATTATTAATCGAACCTGATTTACCAGGTATTTCATATTCATTCACTGCTGATGGAAATTATGAAGAAGCATTATATCGAGTAGTTGCTAATCCTCAAAATCATTCTTGTCCGGTTGCTTCTATTACTTATCAACATGGAACTTATGAATTATTAAGTAATGGATCATTAGTCTTAACACCAATAGCAGTTGATGGTAGACAATTATTAAGTGATCCATGTAATTTTGAAGATCCTTCACAATCTCAATATACTAGATATGTTCAAGCTACATGGTTTAAAACTTATCAAGTTTATATTGATCCATATCATGGAAGATATACTTTACAAATTTATCAATTTGATGGATCACCAATGCAACCATTATATTTGGCTTATAAACCTCCGGTTATGTTACCTACGTATGCTTTAAATCCAACTAATCAACAATCAGAAACTGAATCTCAATTAAGCAATGCAAGAAAGAGAATTAAAAGATCTTTGGAGAATCAATATAGAACAAATGCAAGAAGAGAAGTATATAATGAACTGTTTGAGAAGTATTGGTGGCTTTCTGTCGGATGTTTAGGTTTAGCTTCAGCTTATATGTTTTTGAAGTAAAGCAGTAGTAGTATTTTGGGAGGACAATATATTTTTTTTATGTAAACTTAGGAATGGTCATTTTATAAACAATTTTTTGTAACTATATTTGCGTTTTAATATATATATATATACGTACATTTGGTAGAGTCTATGTCTTCTTCTCTTAATCCCCTTGGAATGAAAAGATCTTTCCAGGGAGTCCATATCCAGCCTAACCCTTGACCAAATACTCATAGTGGAAAAAAAGGAGGCGTGGGGAAAAGGTCACAGCCCAGCCACCAGCCGAACAAACTTTTAGTCCTTTCAAATCTCCAGAGGCAAAAAACCAAATCAAATCACTTTCTTTGTCATTTTACTAAGCAAACTTAGAATAGCATTACATCAAACAAATAAAAGCAAAGATGGCATGGTTTGGAGGATCATCAGGCAATGTGTCTACTGTTTTATTAGACAATAAGATTTCTCAAGCTACTTCTGAATCTATTCCAAATGGTGAACTTGATTTACCAATTGCGTTAGAAATCACCGATATGATTAGATCGAAAAACATCCCAGCAAAACAATCAATGAGAGCATTAAAGAAAAGATTAACATTGATATATAGTAATCCTAATTTAATCACCTCAACTTTAAAACTTATTGATTTATGTATTAAGAATTGTGGATTTCATTTTTTGATTGAAATTGCTAATAAAGAATTTATAGATTATTTAATTGATTTCATTTTTAAAGTTCAATATAATATTAAAGATTATCAAATTCAAAATAATGAAGCTAAATTAAATGTTGGTAAATTTATCTTATCATTATTAAAACAATGGAAAATTGCGTTTGCTGATAATTTACAATTATCTTATGTTGAAAAAGTTTATAATCAATTGGTTAATGAAGGTTATCAATTTCCAGACTTAGATACTAGTGTAACTAGCAAATTTGTTGATTCTGAAGTTCCTCCTGATTGGATTGATTCTGATTCTTGTATGGTTTGTTATACTCCATTCTCAATGATGAATAGAAAACATCATTGTCGTGCATGTGGTGGAGTATTTTGTCAACTGCATTCAGCAAATAATGTTCCTTTGGTAGAATTGGGAATTACGGAACCAGTTAGAGTTTGTGACAATTGTTTGGCAAAACAGAAGGTTAAATCAGGTAAGCATAAGAAAGAACATTCCCGTGGAATAGGTTCGTATGGAAGTTATGAACCAGAGCTGAGACTGATTAATAATAATAATAATAATGAAGAGGATGAAGATGAACAATTAAGAAGAGCAATTGAATTAAGTTTACAAGATAGTTCAATTCCAGCATATACTCCTCCGGCGCCTGTACAAGCTCCACCACCTCAACCTTCTGGACAAGATGAAGAAGAGGATGAAGATTTGAAAGCTGCAATTGCGGCAAGTTTACAAGAGTATGAATCTCAACAGAAGATCAACAATATGTATCAACAACAGCAACCGCAACTGCAACCACAACAACCAGAATATGTACCTCTGAATCCATTTGGACAACCTCAAGAACCGGAACTGGACCTTTACAATATTAGTTACCCACAATTTGGAACATCTCAACAACAATCACAACAGCAACAACAATATCAACCAAATCAAGCGGCTCAACAGCAATATCAATCCCCTCAACAGACTCAACAACAGCCAGCATATACCGGTTCACCATTCCAACAACAGCAACAACAGCCACAAGCACAAGCTCAACCGCAAGCACAGCCATCACAGCAAGAGAACTTATCACAAGCTGAAGAAGAACAAATTAACTTATTCATCACCTTGATGAACAATCTACGTAATGACCCCAAGAAACAAGCTAATATAATGTATGATCAAGATTTAAATGAATTACATTCCAAAATCATCAAATTAAAACCAAAAGTGAATAAATCATTACGTAACTCAATTGAGAAATATGATATCTTTATGGAGATGAATAATAAGATTTCAACAATTTCGAGATTATATGATCAATTCTTGGAATCCAAATTGAGTATGGCGTATGGAAATCATTATATTTCGCCGGCTGTTCAGAATGTTCAGGCAGCTGGGGGGACTTTGAGGACTGGGTTATATCCTAATTATACTGATGGACAGGGCATTTCTCCGCAAGTGAGTGGATATGGGAGAGAACGGGTTTCTCCCCAAGTGAGTGGATATGCGGGACAACAACAACCGGCACAAGCTCAACAAAATACTGGATATCGTAGGTCATCACAAGAGATTCCAGATCTGAGATATGCGGAAGCTCAACAAGCTCAGCAAAGTACTGCATACCGTAGGTCATCGCAAGAGATCCCATATACAGAAGCTCAGCAAACTGGTGGTTATGAAAGACAACAACAGCAACAGTCACAGCCACCACAACAACAACTGACTGGATTTTATGCTTCGTATCCACAAGAATCATATTCTACAGACTCGTATAACAAGTATGAACAACCACAACCACAACATCAACCTGGATTACCCCAAGTACAAGTCCCTACCCCAACCCTAGCCCCATGTGAAGCTGATTTGGAAGAGGAAGTATCAAATGGAAGAACTGCGACTAGTTCAACTGGACCAAGACGGTTTTCACAATCGATATATCCCGAACAACAACAAAAACAACAACAACATACTCCTTCTTCATCTTCCAATATAGTTTATCCTACTGGAGAAGATTATCTTCCACGTAAAGAAGAAGATACTTATGAAGTTTCATTACCTCATTATCCCCCACCTGAGGATTTACAACAACAGTTACCTGTTCAAACATATGTAAGAAGAGCCAGTACTTCACTTCCTGAAAATGCGGTTGAGGATGCGAATATGAAGTATCCAAGTTTGGAAAACGTTGAGAAGAGGGAACAAGAAGAAGAGGAAGAGAGAGAGAGGTTGAGTAGTATGTTTCCTAGGGTGCCTAATAATAGTACCGGTGGGGAGTTGCAGCCGATAAGGACTGGGGGGAGTAGGAAGTCACCATATGTGCCTGAACCTGAACCTTTGATTGAGTTGTAGAGAGATGGAGAAGACAATGTATATTTTGCATATATATTTTGCACAGTTTATATTTAGTATGAATGAATATATACACCACAAGTAGTATAATAACGTATGGGTTACACAAAATTTGTAATTAATTAGTTATTTTGCAATCTTAATTTTGTAGAACTGTGGATCAGTAGATCTCCTTAGGGCTCGAATCGCAAGAAAGTAAGCAACAGAAAAAAGATTTTTTGACTTCTTTTTCTCTGCACATTTTTTTCAAGTTTTGTGATTTTAGATAGCAATTAGAAAAAGAAACCCGCCTCTTAATTTGAACAATGAGAGAAATTAAACCTTGGCTGAAAAAAATTTCAAATTTTTCACCTTTTGATTTAAATATAGATTTACACTATTTCTCCTTTCCTTTCTTCTTCTTCTTCTTGTTGTTCTATAAGAAACTATTCTTTTGTAATCCAAACGAGAGCTGCCGCTTGAAGTCTAATAAACTATAATATACTCATCACCATCTTGTGAGTATTATTGATCCCCCTTATAGCAGCACATCCCCTATCACCACCACCTGGTTAACACGCTTACAGTATTTTGAGTAGTTTTTCAAAAAGGATTCATACAAGTTATGACACATTCTATTATCCAAGATGAACAACCTTATGAATTAATTAACAAAGATTCATATATTGATCATAATCAAGTTTCATTTCAATTTAATAATAAGAACAATATTCAACATTTGAATGAAGAATCAACTACTTCTTCATCTAAATTGATTGAACAAGCATTAATTGAACATATTTCTTCAATTGATCATGAAGAATGTGAAGCAGGAGATGAAGATTCATTTTTTGTTTGTGATTTAGGTGAAGTTATTAAATCAATTGAAATTTGGCAAAAATATTTACCTAATATTTTACCTCATTATGCTGTTAAATGTAATACTAATATTGAAATTATTAAACTTTTATCAAATTATGGAATTAATTTTGATTGTGCTTCTAAAACTGAAATTGATACAATTTTAAACTTAGGTATTGATCCACTGAGAATTGTTTATGCCAATCCTTGTAAAACAAATTCATTTATTAGACATGCAAATCAATCACAAGTTAATTTAACTACCGTTGATAATGTTCAAGAATTATATAAATTAAAGAAATATCATCCAAATTGTGGTATTTTAATTCGTATTATTACCAATGATGAAACTGCTCAATGTAGATTATCAACTAAATTTGGTTGTGATTTAACCACTTGTATTAATGAATTATTACCATTAGCAAAAGAATTAGATCTTGATATTAAGGGGGTTGCATTCCATGTTGGATCAGGGGCAAAAGATTTCCAATCAATCTATACCGCCATCAAAGATGCCCGTATTGTATTTGATGAAGCAATTTCAATGGGATTTAATATGAAGATTTTGGATATTGGTGGAGGGTTTGAACGGGAAACTTTCCAAGAATCTTCTAAAATGGTTCAAATTGCAATTGAACAATTTTTTAACACCGAATTTGTTAATCAACATGAAATTAAATTCATTGCTGAACCAGGTAGGTTTATGGTTGCTAATGCTTTCACATTGGCAACTCATATTATTGCCCGTCGTGATATTAAAGATTCTCAAGAAGTTGATGCAATGCTTTATGTTAATGATGGAGTTTATGGAAATATGAATTGTATTTTATTTGATCATCAAAATCCAATTCCATATGTCTTAACTCATGAAAATAAGTTTTATTACAACCATCAAAGTGCTAAGAACTTTTCATTTTCAATTTGGGGTCCAACTTGTGATGGATTAGATTGTGTTGCTAAATCAAGTAAATTGAGTCATGATGTAGCTGTTGGAGATTGGTTATATTTCCCTAATTTGGGTGCTTATACTTCTGCTGCAACTACTCAATTTAATGGGTTTAAAGGTGAAGCTAAAGTTATTTATGTTAACTCTGCTTCTTCTTCTTCTTCCCAATGATTGAGTGACAGTTTTATAGAGAGAGAGGTACGGGAGGAGTAGAAGAATAGTAGTATTCTTATAATTAGATTGTTTTAAGTAGTTTGCAATACTATTTGTTTTATTCTAAGCTTTCAATTTATGTAGATATAACTTGTGGCACAAAAGAAGACGACGAACGCAAAAACTTGGTCATTTGACGGAGAGGGACATTCGTTGTATTTTTAGAGCCGTTACCATTTAAATTAATTTAACATTATCCAATTTAAACATTAAAAATCAATTATAGTCATTAAATACTCTCTATATACAATTGAATAATTTCCACTCTTTTGGGGTAACTCAATAAGAGCAGCTTTCTCTGTATAGTTTTCCTAATAGATAAAAAGAAAACTGTAGTAGTCTATTACAAGGCTTCATTATATTTGGCAGCCAAATAATCATTGTGTACAGATGGAGCTACCAATTGTAATAAATAATATTGTTGCTAAATATAGCAGTATTGTTTCAACTGATGCAACATTCTTTCAATGATAAAATTAATTCTAGAATTGATCTAAGGGTAGCATGATGATTAGAGTAACAGATATACAATTATAAAGAAACATGCCATAAATACCTTTTCAATCCTTGTGGAAAAGCAAATTAAACAGAAAAAAAGAGATCTTCGTATTGTCATATTGTCATGTCATTCAGACTTCTCATTCTCTTCCCCTTTTCATACGTAATTGCAATTAAGAATCCACTGAACGAACAAAAAAAAAAAAAAA